TGCGGTAATGCTCCTCGACATGCATCTCATTGGACATTCCGGAACGTGCGTTCCGATCGAACAAGATCGAGCGGCGCGAGAAGAGCATCCTCTTCTTCGGTAAGAGCGGCGCGCAGCATGATTTTCCATACTAGCGTATGCCACGCATACCGCGAAGAGCACCGATGGTGGGGCCCGACCCAGATATCCGTCTTCCGAAGGCATCAGCTAACAGAATACAGCCGGTAGGGAACGACGGTGCCTATCAGAAGCTTTGCGGCCGCGGCTCCTCAGTTCATCGACTGCCGTCGTGCCGTGTGCTGCAACGCGCCGCACACTCGCGCTGAACCTTCCCTTCCGGTGTAGGAGACCTCGAAAAGAGCTGACATTTGGCGAGAGAGCTCGTCGACTGAAATTCGCCCGTGAGGAAAGGAACTCAATACTGCGCAGTAGCCAACAAGAAACAGCGATAACGTTGCTGGATCGGGAATTAAATTAAAGTTTTCGGAGAAGAAATTATATCAAGCGAGAAACTTGTGTCTTTCTCTCTTCGTGACATGCAACTTCGCTAAATTGGAAAATACTTGTAAGGCAAATTATAGGACTTTATTTTTTGGTGAAGCTAAGGAAATTGGAAGAAGAGACCGACGAGAGGGACGGTAACAGCAAGAAGGAAAGAATGTCTCCAAATAAAATTATTGCTGGACTTCTGGCTGGTTAGGGGATCGAGAAAGTTAGGTCTGACTAGCTTCTACGCAAATCTTTAAAAGTGACGAGATTCCTGGAGAAGTGTCGGCCACCATTAAATGGAACCTTTGGCGGCAAAGCGCGAGTTAACGGCAGTGGAAGAAAATTCTGACGATCGTGTTGTTTACAAATCCGTTGAGAGACAGAAGCTAGTAGGAAAACTCGGCATGGCGTCATGCAGCCGTGTATAGCTGCAAGGTTAATACAATGATAATGACGGCCTATCATTAGTTTTTAAGGCTCTCCGCCTCGAATGTATGGTTAATCAACAGCCATTATTCTCTCACAGACGAGATCGATATCTACCTTTCACGCTCCGTGTAAAAACGGCGATGTGTACTACGCAACGATGAACGGAACGCGAAGGCGGTTGCACGATCGTTAACGATCTTGCGCGAGTAAGGTCGAAAGGGTCCGTACTTACGTAAGCAAAACCATGATAAATCCTTTGTTATCTTCGTCCCTCCCGTCTCTCGCGACACGTCTCGACGATCATCAGGATGACGAGCGCCTGTCGGTGAATCTTCGCACCGATTTTATTGTCGATCGGTGATCAGCGGCACTTCCTTGCGATTAGCATTCGATCTGTTCGAACGAACCAGTGCAACTTGAAAACGAGCAAGATTGCGTGCTGGATCGTCACGTGACGATAGACGTTTCTAAGAAAGCTCTTTGAAGGCTTTCTCGCTCGCCGTGATAGGGGAGAGTTTGTTGGTGCGAGGTAATTATAATTAAAAGTGCATTGTTCGGCCGGTCTCACGAGAGTCTCCTCTGTCGTTTCTCACGACGTGCCGCGGAAGGTCCTTCTTCCGCGATCTACATCCTTCGGAAGATCCGAGTGAAATTACAATTGTTCGGAATTAGTAGGGCTCCGCTGCCTCGTGCGTATAGATCTTACCAGCCGAATGACACCGACAAGTGCATGAGACAAGGTTACGAATACATCATCAACGGCAATTCTAGGCAGCCGATTCTAGCGGCGCACACCAGCAATGGGATATTAAGGTTTCCCTTATCGGAATTGTCGAAAGACACACGCGTGAGTTTCCGAAGTGAAACGACTTCGACTCTCCGAGCGATTAACACATGCCTTCCATTAAGAGTCCTCGAACACCGCTCAGCTGTATCACTATGGAGAGAGAAGTGTCCGATACGGAAGGAGTGTTCTCCAGGAGACTCATTAGCAACTGGGCCGAGTTACCAACGACGTTGAGACGTCGGCAAAAACACCGTCCGGATATTCTAAACCAATTCACCGACTACTCCGAGTCCTCGGAGAACGAGCTCCACAGCTTTGAGCCAAAGACTTTCAGCAACGTACAGCGAATCGTGCGCCGTTCCGAATTCCTGCGAAAATGGGACTCCAGTGACCATATCCGGAAAGAAGACGTCTCGGATCTTCGGAAGGATATGATGAGGGATCGCAAGTCGACGCCCGAGAATCTCTTCAGCCACCTGGACGACGATTATCGGAAGCACTACGTAAATCAGGACTCTAAGTTGGGCTATCGTAAGAAGAGTCACTTCATAAGCAGGCAAGAAGCGAAAAGCTTCTCCGACGAGGACCGTAAGACCAATTCCCCCGATAGTCTGCTGATGAAATCGTCCGAATCCGAATTAAGTAGTGATGAGTATGGACATACCGACGATTCTGGAGCGTTTTTGGAGCAAGCTTCGCACTTGGACATGACGCCAAAACCGGAGAGAAACAGCTTCATCAAGTTTTTCGCGAAAGACGGCAGGAAAAAGAAGAAGATGGAGCAGGATCACTTGGACGTGAACAAAAATATCAAACAGGGATCGGAACTTTTCAGAAAGGAGTCCTTCGGCCAACAAAAGTTCGAGTATGAAAATATCCCCAGGATAGACATGTCCAGGTTGGATCAAAAATCTTTCCTGAACCCGATCGTACGAACGAGTCAACGTCAACCGACCATCGAGCAGCTCAGAATGGAGGAAGGTTGTGAATTGAGAAGTTCCAAGAACGCGGCAGCCTTGAAGAGTACTCGGGAGAAGAAGTCGACTCAGCAGAAGCTGAAGGACGAGGAACCAAAGACGAACGATATGATTCAGGAGTTCTACGATGGCGAGCAGATCATCATGCGAGCTAACGGTGAACGCAAGATGGCGAAGATGGAGACCATCACCGAGGAAAAGGCGGACGGAAGCAAGCTGAGCGTCCGGGAGATCCTGAAGAGGTTCGAGGAGCTCAGAACGCAAAACGAAATGCAAGCTGAAGAAAAGACGAACGATAAGACGCTCAACACCATACAGGAGACCTTGAAGAAGCTAGACGAAAAAGTCAAGAGCTATCAGGTCACGATTTTATTTGTCATGTTTATTATCATTATTATTGCTATTATTATTGGTGGACGTAGGAATATCTCAGCATTTTCAACATTCAAAGCCGAGATAAGTATAATCAAATAGACTGCGTTAAATGGACCGCGAATATCTCGTGTCGTAATTGATAGACCCGGATACAAGCGAGAGATCTCGAATGAACCAGGTGACATAATTTATTGGATTTTTATTATCGCACACTAATTCTTCACGGCTTAACGACCAGCTCTCTGTCTAGATAATTCTAATTTCCAGTAAATCTTGCAAGGACATCCTTCAGATTTATATGTTGTTTATGCATCAAGTGGAACAGCTGCCAACCAATAGATCAATCTCCAATTATTAAAAGATAAAAGTTACTCATAATATAATATAATATATAAGCGCTGAATTATTAATTGACTCAATCACCGTTAAACGACTTCTGTTTCTTAATATAGTTTCGTAGTTTCACGCAGCGCTCGTTTTTCGCAGTGTTTGTCTTTTGTGTCTCTCTGTACGCGACCCTGTCGCGTTTATACAATTCGCACTTCTTTACATCACAGTTTACTTCCACACTTCCAGTCTTCTTTACGTCACGCCTCGATAATAGCTACGGAAATCGTTAGACCGTTGCGCGCCTTGTTATCTGTCGCAATATGGCTTCGTGGACGCTCAGCAACCGCATCCACATCTTACGTCGCGTCTCGATGCATTAATGATTATGTGGGTCAGGGTCGACATCTGCTTATCCTGCTCGCTCGTGCGCATTCTCGTATCCTCGGCCGATTCCAAGGTATCGGCGCACTCGCGACGTAAACGCATACCGCGTCTTATCTAACGGAATGACGACTACTTCTCTCACAGGGTGTTTGAAAATGGGGTGAGATTAAATGACTGTCAAATCCCACAGCCATTTATTTTCTCGGAGATGAGAGCCGCAATTATCGAACGTCAGTATATTTTAAGTGTACAGCATTCCAGCATTTCAAGCTTTCATTACACCAAAGATATTGGGTATATAATGGAAGAATACTTGTAATTATCGAGAAACACAGCTATCGACGAGCATAATTAATCGATTTTTCTTATCTACGAGAGCAGAGCCGCTCCCTAGGTAGGTTTCCTTGCCAGGTTGCCAACAGATTGCTCTGCATACTGTTAATGTCATTAATAAATAGGCAGGATGCAATCACCTACTTTTATCAAAAATCTCGGTGATTGGTGAAAAGAGAGAGGAGTGTCCCATCGGAAAGACGAGACACTCCTCTTCCCGGCTCTCTCGCTAAGATGTTGATATCCGGCTGCCATGACGGCGGGAGCAGTCGAGAAATCGCGCGTAGCGCGGAAGCGCCGCCGCTAATTTACGCGATACGCGCTTTCTTCCTTTTTGTTTCTTTGCCGCTTAAACTGAAAAAAAAAGCCCCAACACTCGATGGTCATATTGTGCTGCATTCCTATATCAAGCTGCGGTGCCTCGGCGGCCGGGGAAAACCCGTTTTCTCGCGTGCCAAGATCGATGCGTCGGTACCGCGCGATAGCGTCGGGGAAAAGGAGGAAATGCAAGCAGCACATACGCGGAAATAAAGAAACAGAGAAGCCGCGCGGAAAATGGATTCGCTTACTAGCTCATAAATAAGATCGCTTATCACGATACTCCGCAAGAGGGTGAATTGCTCCTCTATAGATCTCTAGGAAAAGAATCATGATAAGAGAGCCTCTGTAATTTTATATGAGTCAAGTATTCTTTGTGAAATAATTTATATTATCTTAACGTTGAACATACATACATGTATCGAAGATACATTTATTTTTTGTACAATCTAAACTCTCAGTAAATAATAATATATGTTATATTTATTAATTATTAAAGAAATCAATTATGATTTCTTTAATAATAAAATCTTAATAAAATTAATGTCACTAATGCGAATTATTTGTTCGACTTATAGATCGATCAGAAACCACCCCAGAAGGCTAACCATCACGAAAATCATGTATCTCAAATCACGAAAACTATCCAATCGCAGGCGAATCACGCCTCCGCGAACCACATCCAGCCTCACAATCATTCTAATCACGTAATTCCCGAGCACGAGAACCATGTGCCGCTCGGTCGCGTGCCCAACCATGTGTCAGCTGTCAATCAGGCGAACCATCAGAAAAACCAGCAAAACCAGCGACTTAGCCCGAGCCAAGAGTGGCGGCAGCAGGATGACAACGTCAGACTCCAGGAGGATAGCATTTACGAGACCGGAACGGTAGTCAACGATGGCAAACACTCCCTGTTGCAGTACGCCATGTTGAATTTTCGTCAGAGCACAGAAAAGTAAGTTAAAGGGATCGAAGTAATAATCTAGGATCTTTTCGGAAGTAATAATAGTGTTTCTTTTTTTCATAAAATAATGTTTCGATTGAGAGGATACAGCTAGATAAAATCGTGTTGCTCTTAGGAAATGTTGCTCATAAAATAATATATATACAGGATGATTCAAAACAACCTTATTATAAAGTATAAAATAAAAAAAAAAAAAAAAAAAAAAAAAAAAAAAAATCCTGATAAAATTCTAAAACAACTTTTCCTCTTGCAAAATTTTGGCAAAAGCTTAGATTTTAAATTATTAACAAAAATAGTAGACCTATTGCGGGTCGGGTACGGGAGATAGACAGGTGCGGCGCAACTCACCGTCAGACGTGGGCGCTAACGCGGAGTACCCTCAGCAATCAGCTGATCACACTACACATGTTATACACTAGCTACGTTCCAATATTCATTGCCAGCATAAAAATCTGTATTTTGTATCTGTAACGTGATGCGACGGATGTCTTGCTCGGTTGGGGTACAGCTCGGCGTATCTTCGAGCAGCAGCGGCGACCTGGCCGTGACAGGCTCCGAGTGTCATAATAGCATGTCATAATATTCTTCGTTCATGTATGCTGCCATATCGTCTTGACGTAAACGCTTCCAATAACCGCAGGATTATTGATTAACGCATCGATTGTTTCAACGCATTTATACGATCGTCGCGGGATGTCCATTGGTCCATCCCCCACCACGCACGACCGCCGCTTCGCATTGGTCGTGCAATGAATACGAGTGAATGAGTGAGAAAGAGACAGAAAGACTCGGAGAGACCGAGAACGTGCTTGCATGTGTGTGCGCGTACAATCCTGGCTGTTTTCCAAAATTTTTGCCAGTTATAACAATCACCTAACGTCACAGAAAATACAGATTTTTATGCTGGCAATGAATATTGGAACGTAGCTAGTGTATAACATGTGTAGTGTGATCAGCTGATTGCTGCGGGTACTCCGCGTTAGCGCTCACGTTTGACGGTGAGTTGCGCCGCACCTGTCTACCTCCCGTACCCGACCCGCAATAGGTCTACTATTTTTGTTAATAATTTAAAATCTAAGCTTTTGCCAAAATTTTGCAAGAGGAAAAGTTGTTTTAGAATTTTATCAGGATTTTATACTTTTAATAATGGAAGGTTGTTTTGAATCACCCTGTATATATATTATATATATATATATATAGAATGTATAAAAAGTACCGGGACGACGAAATATCTCGGAAACTAAGCATTTTAGAAAAAACTGTTTCAGATAAAAGTTGTATGGGAGACAATTCAAGGGGGAAAACAACTATATCATTTTGTTTACAGATGGCGCTATTTTCAAAATGTTCATTGATTCACTGATCGTTACTTTTCTTAAATGGAAACTCCACTTTTTTAATATATCATTTTTTTCTACCAATTAATTTGAACAACTTTTGTCTGAAACATTTTTTTATTTGTCTAATATTTTTTGAAATATTTAAGGAAAACTTGATTATTTGAAATATTTAAGGAAACTTGATAACTTTTCTAATATCTCGCTATTTATCGGAAGAAAAAATAGTACGAGACTTTTTTACTCTATTTGGTCTCAAGAATATATTGTTACAATAGCGCCCTGACTTTTTAATTTGATGATTTTGAAATTTTCAAAAGTCAGTAAGTTAATAGAATAAATAAAAGTCAGGGCGCTATTATAACAATGTATTCTTGAAATTAAATAGAGCAAAAAAGTCTAGTATCACTTTTTCTTTCGACAAATAGTTAGCAAGATATCGTAAGTTAAATATTGAAAAAGTTATCAAGTTTTTCTTAAATATCTTAAAAAATATTAGGCAAATAAAAAATGTTTCACACAAAAGTTCATATTAATTGCTAGAAAAAGATGATGTGATAAAAAATTGGAGTTTCCATTTAAGAAAAGTAATGATCAGTGAATTTCTCGAAAGTGGCGTCATTTGTAAACAAACTGATATAGTTGGTTTATGTCCCCTTTGAAACCATACAACTTTTGTCTGAAATGTTTCTTAGTATCTTTCATATTTTTCGAGATTTTTGCTTGACTCATTTAAAATGGGACACCCTGTATGTATTATATATTATATATATATATATATAATTTGGAAAAGTCAAAGGTCCTTAAGGTGTCTAATCAAATGAAACCGCTCCTTTCTAAATTCCGGTTGGTACCAGGAGCACAAACTTGTCGATTACATGGAAATTAATGCGAAGCAACTATTGGAGCTGCGTTATGCAAGCGAGTCGTTGGAAAAGCATAGCGCAGCCTTGCGAGTTACCGATTAGACCTGTGTGCGTATCGTGGTGTCCTTTTCCTGCATCAGTCCTTGCTTCGTATTCACGTGGAGAACGACAGTCTTCGACTTGTCACTCGCGACGCGATGCAGATAAACGGAAAGATTAACGGGCGTTTTTACGCATCTGACAGATTCGAGATGTTGAAGACCGCGGACGGGTCAATCAGCGGCTCTCTTAAAGTGATCGAGTCGCTGAAGAACAAGAAGAAGAACAAGAAAGGCAAAGGCCAGCAAGATGGCACCGAATGGACCTGGAAGGAGCAGGTGGACCTTGTCAAGTACTCCACTATCCCCATCGAGCAGAGTCTACTCAGGCTAGACGCGGACCTGAGCGCCTTAGCCGTGGAATGTTTTTTGTGTCTGATGAGATACATGGGAGACCAGCCATTGCCGCCCGAAACCAGTGAAGTGAAATGTGTCTACACTATCCTGATGGTAAGGCCATATTGTAAGAGAAACGACAAATACGTATTTCTGACTTTGTCGTTTCCTTCTTTCCCCGAACGTGTTCAACGTTCCGTCTTTTTTGTGGATTGCGCGATTCCGTTGCTATTGCTATTATATCATAGTCGCTCGTTATTTCTCCACTTCGCGCGCTTTTAACGGAGGTGAGCGTCCCGATATAGCTGACGAAACCGTATCCTCGAATATTCGCAGCACTGTCACAAGTACGAGCAGCTGCGCGACGAGGTTTACTGCCAGTTGATGAAGCAGACTACCAATAACAAAAGTCCGAATCCAGAGAGCTGCCAGCGGGGCTGGCGAATCTTCAGCATTGTCGCGGCCTATTTCACGTGCAGCGAGGGTCTGAGGCCTTACCTGACGAAATACCTGGAGACGGCGGCGTACGACAAGCGCCGCGCCTATCACGGCACCGCGACGGTCTGTCTGCAAAATCTCCGGAAGACTGTGAAATACGGCGGACGTAAAAACGTGCCCAGCGTCGAGGAGATCATGGCGATCAGCGCGGGCAGAAACGCGAAGAGGCAGATTTATCGGCTACCTGGCGGTACCGAGAGAGTCATTAACACGAAATGCACGACCGTCGTGCAGGACGTTATTGAGGAGATGTGCAACGTCATCTCTGTGAGAAATCCCCACGAGATGGATGAGTTCTCATTATACTGCATCGTTGATGGTGACGCGTTTACCATGCCGTTAGCCAGAGACGAGTATGTCTTGGATGTGACCACGGAACTTCACAAAAATCACCAAGTGTTCTATTTAATATTTTGCAGGTACGATGAGATTTACCGTATTCCTCATCTCTCGCTGTGAGCTTCAAACTATTACATATACTCTTCATCGAGTTTTAAACGAGTTTTTTTATATTCCACTGAAAAATTTCTACTGAAATCTAAAATGAGATTTCCGAAAAATTTCCTACGCGTGATTTTAATTATTTTATATTATATTTTAATTGAGATTGCATGAAAAATAGAGAAACTTTTTTTTTCCAAATTTTTAAATTTTGTTATAAATATCAAGTTACCATAATATAATATTTATAATATAATCTAAAAATTTAAAAAAAAGGAAAGCTTTCCATTTTTCATACGATATTTCAATTAAGATATCGTATTACTTTTTTATATAATATCTCAATTGAGATGTCGTATAGGAAATTTTTCGGAAATTTCATTTTAGATCTCAATAGAAATTTTTCATTGGGGTATGAATTATAATATATAATATAATTTATATGAATTATAATATATATTCCAAGTATAAAATTTCATTATTAAGACTTCTTTTTCTTATGTATATATGAAAATTTATCTTTAACAAAATCACTACTGTAGGGATGAATTTAACGTAACCCAATGGTATAATTTCGAGATACAAAATTATAAATTTCGACGAAAATGACGTTCCCCCAAAAAAACCTTTTAGGTCTGTTTGGTATTATCCCTTGCGACTGGACGCAGCGTTGTACATAGAAGTTGTATTCAATCAAATTGCTCCTGATTACCTAGAAGGACTTCTACTTGTCCTACCAGGAGAACACTTACCTCAAGAAGTAATCGTGAGTACTAACATCTGCCCAAGAGAGTTTCGCTGAAGTGACAAATGATAAATGATCGATCAATTAATGCCGAGCGTGTCTTGTAGTATGACATGGCGCAAATCGCGGCGTTACTGCATAGAGCAGCTGACATGACACATGAGCCTGCGACAAAGGAGATTAAATACTTACTGCCAAAACCAGCGCTCAGCTTGAGAGAACCGAGGCCACAGCAATGGTCCAATATGGTTCAACAAGCTTGGAGTAACGTTCAGCATTCCTCGGCGGCTGTTTGCAAGGCGCAAGTGCTCGGTGAGTCGAACATTATCTTCAATCCATCATGTTTCGAGATTACCTTCCACTGAGAAAGTTTCGTCCCGTTAAATCGGCTTTTAATTTGACGATAATTTATTGCATAACTTTACCATAACTTGTATATTCCTGTAACTTTATCAACATGAGGAAAAACTCTTACATAACAAACAGGCTGATTAACATTTATTTTTTCTTGTTGTTTAGAAATATTATCCAAGTGGCCACTTTTCGGCTCGAGTTTCTTCGCGGTAAAGAGAGTACCCGAAGGCAAGGAGAAGGGTGCTGATCATATTCTGGCTCTCAATCGACATGGAGTACACTTCATAGATCTAATAACGCATGTAAGTAGTCCGAGATACTTCATCTTTTCCCTGCGACGACATTCTTTGCTTTTAACGAGTGCCTAAGTATTCGGCTACCTTTTTTCTTTTTTGTTCACGATGGGGAAATCCTCATGGATACCCTCGCCCCTTGGGTTAGGCGAGGGTTATGTCGGACTCTTACCGGCTAAAACTCCATCGGGCTCTTCGACGTATTCGGCTACCTAGATATTACCGTCATTGATGTAAATATTTCAATTCCAGGAGACACTGTATCATTACCCCTATTCCGAGGTAATTTCTACCAGAAAAGTCAAGTCGGAGGAGGGCACGCTTTATCTCGACATGAAGTGCGGCAATCTGATGCAACAGCGTATCACCAGATTGCAGACGGAGCAGGCCCATGAAATATCCCGTCTAATCAGACAGTACATAACTATGGAACAAAGAACGTCCAATACTCAAGGTGCCGGTATCGGTCTCGGCATGAGATAAGCTTCTTCGTTACGCGACGTCCTTCCTTCACGACCGACATCTGCTTCGGATTAACTAATTCGCAGGGTCGTAACAAGTAGATTAAGTCCAACGGCCAAATGTTAATGTTGAGGAAGCCCTGAAGACCCTGCGTGGAATCTGCCCGATAGCTTACATTACGTGACGATCTTAACATGTGTAGAAGTATCGGCTTTAATGTGTGTTTATACTACATAAGGTACTTCGTAGTACACACCCCATAGTATACTCCACAGTATACCCCATAGATAAGGCCTCCTGCAGCATGCTGACCCGAAATCCAAAGGATACCGCCGTCGGTACTACTAATCCGTTGTCAGGGATATTTGTAAGACTCGTTGGAAGGAAGGATTGTGGAAGAACGAATGCTCAAGTATCTAAGCCGTCCGTATTGATCATGACGTAAAACAATGGACTTGTATAGCATTTATTTATATTAGAGGTTTCATAAAAAAAACACACACACACACACGTACAAGCGTCGGAACAGGCAAACGGAGATTACATCCATCGTGGCGGTGTAACGCTGATATTAATACATGTCTGATGAGTGTCAAGCAGAAGACTAACCACGTAGCGATTATATATTATCAACAGAGAATTATTAATAATAATTGTACGTATGCATATAGAAGTACGATGTGAACGAAGATCTTAACTTTATATTGAAATTTGTACTTGTAAAAAGATGTTTTTGTTGTATTCTGATTTTTCCTCGTTATCTCCCGGACTACCACAAGTCTGCAAAATAATACTTTCACGAGCGATAAATTAATGATGCGTGAACGAGGGTGACTGAAAGATGCTTTGAATCAAATGTCGAAACTATTGCAGTCCTGTGGTAGTTATCCTTCTAATGTATTTTACTGTTACAAGTATTATTTAAGTATAAATGTTGTGGCACTTTGCATTTGTGTTCGATAGGCAGTATAGATTCTAGTTTTATTCCTCCGATATAGATATTCGTTTTTTCTTCTGAAATATCATGAATTTTATTCTTTTCCTTGATGAGATCTGCGTATTTCTGGATATTAACCTATTTTTTTAATCATCAAGTTTTTATTATATGTAATAGTTTTGTCAGGCGACAATTCTCACGTCACTTTGATTACGTTATAGTTAAATTATTTGTAAAATCAGTTCGACGAGCTTTATATGCAGATAGCGAAGTAAGTGCTGTCTATAAAAGTAACGAAGTAACTTCGTAGAATTTCGGCCAATTATCCCGCATGAAAAGTGACAAACTTCCACTAAACTGACAATTATGATTTACAGTAAGTTTATGATCACGAATAAATGCAACCGAAAGTTCTCTCGTTGGTCATGGAAAAGTTAAATTCTGTCATGATCAGGACTGGCTTGCGATTTAGCATCCTGCGGCCAATTACTTGCGGTATGTCGCACATATCCCGGATCGTTCGGCGAAGACGGAATCTTTGCGGTTTGCGTCCCGGTAGTCCTCAACACTCCGAAACATTCCTCCAGCATCTCAATCTCGTCCTTGGATCTTTCTCGTCCTCTGGACTCGTAACCTGGTGGAGCAGGCATATTGAAGGATATGTCGCGATGACCCTTCAAGATCCCAGACGAAGGACTGCGTATCCTGACAGGTACGTTGTCGTACTGGCTGTTGTCCGAATATCTGCTCGCGTTTAAACGACATTATATTTAGGTATCGGCATTACATGCGTCAAGTATTTTAGTCATAATATTAGAAGCAAAGGAATTTATAACAGCGATTTTTACATTTTTATATTTAATTTCAAAGAAGGTAATTTCTTTAGTTTCTAATCACTCGAGGTGAATATACGATCATTCACCTTGAAAAATATAATTCTTTTTCTTTTTTTTTTTAATTAAAGAGATACAGAGAAAGAGAGGGAGAAAAATCGAAGACGAAATTTCAAACTGCTTCTTGATTTCCAAGACATAATTCAAATTTTGTGACTGATTTATAACTTGCGAAATATACTCCTGTTAATTTCATTATTCGTAATATCTAAATTAAATCTTTCCCTGGTGATCATTGAAGCGGATTCGGCAATCATTTGGATACAAGATTTCCTCGCTTCTAATATCATAATCTAAAACGACTGACGTAGGCGATGCTGACGCTTGAAGAGAATTCCCGAGCCGAGGACGCGATGACATCCGATTCAATCTGGACTCAACAAATCACCTGTAACTGTCTAGTGCTTCTTCGACATCTCGCTCGACTCTCATAATCTTCACGCTTGGATTGACGATCTTCGCGAAAGTCGAGTTTCTCTTCGTATATTCTGTCGGAAACCGCGGCGTGTCGATTTCGTCGATCGGTCGCTGGTAGATGTCATGACTTTTGTACATAATCCTGGACTCCTCAATCTTGCGATCAGGATCGTACGCACTCGATCGCTGTGAGTCGACCTCGCGGTATCTCTGTGCGTCGCGCATGGCACGGCCATTTTGGAAATTCTGCGCATATTCTTTTGGATCCTGAGAGCTACGAGATTCTCGATATTCCCGATCATCCCGAGAGTCAGATAAGCGCATCGCGGGCAAACCTTGTTGGGATTCGTCTGTCTTTTCGAACGCGTCATTCGGACGGCCATCTTCGTCCTCCGGAAGTTTAACGGTAATCTGTTTTGATTTCGACTTCGTGTCTTTTTCAGCAGTCACCATTGGCACTACTCGCTTTCCTATAACATTTAGAAACGTGTCCTTTTAGAGAAATAAATAAATATAAAGAATTATTAATAAGTTATTTATTGATTTATTATATTTATTATGGTAATAAGTGCGTTTGCACGCGCGTTGTGCTGGAATAAAATCCTTCTTCTTAGTTCTATTATGATCTTGTCAAAAAGTAGTGATTCTTTCTTTATACTTGCAAAACGTGCAGATTATACAAGATTATAAATAGCTACTTTGTATATCAAATTTTACAGTCAAATTTCTTTACAGTGTTTAAATATCATATATCTTTATATTTTTGCCGTTGTCTTTATTATTAAGGATACGCAAAAATTTCCATCGTTCACATATAGATGGCATTGTGAATTATTTACATGAAAGTTGCGATGCATTTTTGTTAGATTATGTCGATATTGGTCAACCTGCATAAAAATTGATGCATAATAAGTCATATTTTATTTAGCAACACCAACATTTTTAATTCGTATGAAGACGGAAGGCGATAAGACGCGTATTCGTCATTGTATGCTTTTTTTTATTTCATCAGCGCAGAAATAGCTGTCGAAGCAATCAGAATCATTTGTGAAACTGATGATGAGGGAACAATAGCTGAAAGTTCATGTCGTGAGTGGTTTCGGCGCTTTAAAAGTGGCGATTTTAACTTGAAAGACAAGGAGCGTGCCGGGCGACCGCAAGAGATAAGTTCGGATGACTTGGAAGCGTTATTGCAAGAAGATTCGACTCAATCAAGTGTAGAACTTGCGAAGAGATTACATGTTAATCAGAGCACTGTAATTCGACGCTTGCGTGAGGTGGAGAAAATTCTGAAGGTAGGAAAATGGATTCCCTCCATGAATTATCCGAGAACGCTATTGTCAGCCGAGTCATCATTTGCCTTTTGCTGCTCAATAGACACAAACACAAGTCTTTTTCGTATCGAATTGTGGCCGGAGACGAAAAATGAATATATTATGACCCATAATCCCAATCGCAAAAGATCGTAGGTAAATTCCGGAAAACTCTCTACATCACAGCCAAAACGAAATATCCATGGTCATAAGGTCCTTCTACGAGTATGTATCTGGTAGGGCATGCAAGGAGCGCTGTATTATGAGCTGTTAAAACCATCTCAGACTATCACCGTGGAATTATGCAGTCGACAATCGAGGCAGTTGAATGAGCAATTGATCGAAAAACGGCCATATTTTGCGACAAAGCAAAGCAAAGTGATTCTTCTGCACGATAATGGCAGGCCCCATGTTGCGTCGACGACGCGGGAAACTTTAATGGAATTACAATGGAAAGTCCTACCATACCGGCATATTCTCCAGATATTGCCTCATCGGATTTTCACTTATTTCATTGTATACAGCACAGTCTTTTCAGTACATGTTTTCGCAATGTTGAGAAAGTGCAACAATTCATCGATAACTTCATTCATTCTAAAAGCAAAGACTTCTTTTATTTCGTGGTATCCATTTTTTACCTGAGAGGTGATAAAAAATAGATAACGCCGGAAAATTTTGATTAAGGATACTATGTCATTAATAATAATATTAATAAAAAGCATTGCCTTAAAAACGATGGGAACTTTTGCACACCCCTAATATCTTTACACTTGGTTAATAACATACCTTTATTTTTGTATTATATATTTGAATGTAACGTGCATAACGAACAAAATATTTTCCTAAAATTTCTGGAAACGATTTATTTTACCTAAATCTTTTTCGATGATTCGTGCTTCATCCTGCTTATCCTTTTTACGGGGCGGACTCATCAGCAAATCTCCGATGAAAACCAATGCTGTGACCAAGCACAGAGCTCCCAAAACCGCAGCATTGTCGACCAGATCCTCGGGAACGCTGTCGATAGACGCCAATGACAAGGCGCCGACTATCCCAAAAAGAATCACTCCCAGCCCAAGCAGAAAGAATTCCTGTGAATTTTAACCGCATCCATTACATTTTTGCGCGAGCTTGGATATGATCTACCTATGCTGCGCATAGCCGCTCAATTATGCGTAGACTATTACACAACGATCTTCAGATGAAACGAGTTCTTGTAGCGACAAGCGCGACTATAGTACGCAAAAGCGGCTAAGAAGTTATTCAGGCTCATGGCTAAGATTTTTCCTGAAGGAATTAACAATTTTTCATAACGACTTTTTCGAAGTTTTCTTTTCTACATGTTCCTTGACATGAATAGTTTTTTGTTCAGCCTACACTACCTACATTAACAAGAAAACTAAATTCTTGCGCTTTCTGCGAGATTTAGTCACTCGTTTAGAATATTAATGTTTGAAATTAAAAAAATGTACGATACATTAAAAAAATATCCTGTGTACGAGAAATCTAATTCTTCTATTCGTTTTCTATTCGTCTTGGAAATTTAAAAAGATACTGCATGTCATCTACACGTGATTTATCTTCGTGAGTAAATACTTTATCAGGAACTGACGTGGAAATATAGGAAACTCATGCATTCCTGCAGTTCATTCGACATCAGCCTAGCCCCATTTATGAGTCATTAAATAGCTTACGTTACGTGTCTCAATTGACCAAGGATGCGATTATACGCACGACGGTGCACGAGACGCTCGGCATCAAGAATATTCTTATCCTTGGCCCCTCAATGACATCTTCGCACGTCGCGCTCCCGATTTTCTCACGCTGCCGCTATCGCGGATAGTCGAGAGTTGCACGGTATATTTTCATTCGCGACCAGCCTCGGAATAAATTAAACATGCCTGGGAAGTAACTCGATGAAACGAAACAAGTCCAACTCTTGCCGTCGTGTCGCTCTTGCGTGGAAACTCCGGCAGATGTTTTACGAGGGGAAAGTCGAGGTGATCCCGTATAACTCATGTGTATGTTACCTCTCATAAAAATCACGATGAGGAAGAAAACAAAGTCTTTTCGCTTTCTCTTCAAGATTGATCTCGAACGCTACACGAAATGTTTAAACGCGTGAGAATTTTATCCTTGTAAAAAAAAGGTGTGCGTAGGAGAGACAACGGTTGTACGAACGGATGAATCTGATATTGAAAGAATAATAATATGCGAAGCAGGAGTTCCCAATCGGGGATGCTCGCACTCCCTGGAGGTGCGAAAAAACATTCTTGGGAGTGCGAGGAAAAGTGATTGTAATTAATAATGATTAAAATGAATTCTGGAATAATCCGGCATTTTTATCATCAAATTAAAAAAATGTTATTAAAATTATATATTTTTTACGTATCTGTACGTATATATTCATTACGTATCACCATGTAAAGCTTGATACCATGAATAATAATTTTATAATATTAAAATGATAGTTAATTTCTATAAAAGAATACTATGTAATAATAAATTATTATAAATTAACTTCTTACCTTAAAACTCTAACAACTAATTTTTATCACAAAACATATGAATAATTGCTTCTTTTGTAGAAGATACGAAGGTTCGTTAATAAATTTTTAGGGGTGCGAAATACAAAAAAGGTTGGGAAATCCTGATGTAAACGGACACGCTTGATTCAAATTCTTTTGATTTTACAAGACTTTGCAGGTACATATCGACATGTAGTATCCGCATGATCGAAGACGAAGCAACTTCATTCCAATTTGATTCAATCCTAGTTGAAACTCATCTGCGAAATACGCTTTCTTAATGCGCGCAAATTAATTTTTAGTCAAGATTAATCTTCAGCTTAAAAGCGAGTCTTTGAGTCGGCCAGAATAATGACGATTTTACTGTCGTGTCGTTATCGGGCTACCGCAGCGGCTGGCAATATTACGAAACGCATAGACAGAGTCGCGACTTATTTCTCTTTGCATGAGAAAAAGAAAGCAATTACCGTCTTTCGGCCTCGGAGTTCTCCGGTCGCAGCGGCGATCAACAGTCCCGTCGTTATTATGATGTATCCGCCGCAGGTAGCCGTTGCGAGAGCAGCGCCTAAATACGCGGAAATGAATAGTATGAATCGTACTTCTTGGTATATCGAGGACTCGAAGAGTCCGTGAATCACAAGTACCTATGCTGCCCCATGTCACGTTGTTCAACAATGACCACTCCCTGCTACGATTCCTCAGGTAATGGAACACCCTTCGACTCTCATCATCCGTCACCCTGAGCGCCACGACGCAAGCGACGCATAAGAGCTGCAATGTATTTTGCCCAATTTTGTCTATTTAGCCGTTAACTTCAGCAATAACTTCATAAACGATATCGAAATATTAATAAGATTAATTAATAAAATTATATTTTACTGGAATGTTTGATCACAATGTTTGAGATGTCGTAAATACAGAGGGAAACATTTTATACGTTTTTATTTTTGTGTTAATGGCTCTTCATGTCATCATTAAACACGTTGCAATATATCGTGAACCGATTATATTTTGCCACTGTTATTATTATTACAGATTGTTGGGTTTTCACGAATTTATAAGCGCGGATGATATTTAACACTAAAAAGACCGAGGCAGCCAATTTGACTCTTTACGAAATTCAAACTGTTATAATTTTTTCAACTTTGCCTCCACATGATATCCTTTTGTGACTTCTTATCATTTTTTCATGTTCTTAATTTTGGTAAAAACATTTTTCAATTATATAAAATGATTGAATTTTTATTTAATTGTCTACCTAGAAGGACCGTTGCGTTGGAGCCAATTTGGCTCCCTTATATCTGATATTGCATTTATTTACAAATTTTATGACTATGACTTTAAATAGATAAATAAATATTTTTATGTGTATCTATCCATTTGTTTGCTTGAAAAACAATTATATACATACATATGTACACATAGATATGTATATATAGCATCTCGCCGTTGGCCATACTTTTTATAATATTTTGGATTTTGCTGCTATAAATGCATGCATGGATTATATACAAGAAAGTTATGCGTAAGAAAAAATATCAAGAAGAATCTTTTTATAAAATCTCGCGGGAGAATTGAATGCCCCATATGTTGCCCAAAGACGAAAGTTTCAAAATTTTTATTCAACCGGAGAAGAAACTGAATCTGACGATGCTTCAGGCAAACGACTATTTTATCAAATAAAAAAAAATTGCAAGAAAAACCACAAAGTTGAAAAATGTCACTCGTGTGCGGTAAATGTACAAAGAAAATGACATATAAATGCATTTTCTGCAGTACATATCGGTATTGTATTTACTTCACGTTTTGTTTTTCACCAAAGACGAAAAAAAGTTCAATATAACTAACAGTTTTTTTGTTCAATAAATTAGTGGTTTTATTGTTAAAACGTTAAATTTTATAATTACTTATACGTTTCGTCTTTTTTCTATTTGTTATTATTTACAAAAAGATATGCTCGGAGCCAAATTGGCTCTTACGGTCCCTCTAAGGGAGTCGTCAAATCCGGTCCTTCTAGTGTTAAAGATGGAACTATAAGATAGATAGATCATGATTCTTAAGTCTCGATCAGTTTTATCGGATGTTTAACGTCAAAACTCACTGTGAAATTATCCTGATCTTAACTTTTCTTGAACTTTTCTTGAACGACACCAACTATAGATCAAAAGTCTCGGCGTGCGTTACAGTTATATAATGTCATACATATTGATAGTTTTGCTAATCTTAGCGTAACAGAGAGTATACTTTTTAACGAGAACGAATATGAGAGAGAGAGAATTTGCGCTCACACGTACCACTTCGATTATTCGAATGAACACTTTGCGATTCCACATGATGAGACCAACGTCGAGGCAATGCCGAGTGAACAACTACCACGGCGAGGAGAGACGAACGACCGTTTGCGTAAATATCTCTTTTCGGCGAAGCATTACATGAATTCTCAGGCTATTAACAAACTGTTTTCATTTGTCTTTGAAACGCTGCTCCTCGCATCGGTAACTAGCTTTTTGTCGTGTACGGCGCAGTAACGTGAGGTCTGCAAGAACCTTCTCGTTTCTTACTCTAGAATTAAAAATCACAGCCATTGATTTCAGCCTGAGTGGCAGAAGTGAAAGTTTTTGTTATGGGAAACGTTCTTCTGTGATCGAGAGAGATAAAATCATTTCAAAGCTTTACTGTGAAAAGCTTCTGCGCAAAATATACATTCAAAGATACAAAATATACATTCCTGAAGATTAGTATATTCGAACGTATACACCTTTATCAATTTAGTAAACCATGTTTACACTACCTATAATGTACAGCACTACTTTACAGCACTATTAATTTGAAAACACTTGTAGAAATCAAGATTTTTCACAAAAAGAACGTGACCCCCACGTGATTCAACCACATTTTCCATGTATTGACTAAATGCTTCGTTCACGTCGATCGCTTTGTTAAAAAATGTAGCATACAAAATATGCGATAATTTATGCAAGCAACGTTTTTTTATCAAAAAATTAATTTCTTACAGATATCGACTACTCAATAGCTGGAATACACAGTATAAATATCAGCGCGAAATTTAGTTTTATTTTCTCGAGGCAAATAGTGAATGACTTCCCGAAAGAAACTAATTGTACGTCGCTTCGAACGCACTCACTATCACCGAACGTTCTATAGCGACCGCTTGATGATAGGGACTGGTGCGTTATCACCTGCGTATAATTACAACAAAACGAAATCGCAAAACGGAGCTTCGTGTCGCGACGTGTTCGGACGACGACTGAGAAAATATAGCGAAGGTGGAGTTGCTAAAGTTGGCGGCGCCGTGTGTCACGTAATAAGGACTGTCCGCATGCGACTGACAGGTAACAATGCTATTATCACACAGTGCAATGGCGCAGGACGGTGCGAACTTGCGGATTTATGTCACGGAGAAGCTCATTGCGTTCTTAGTACCTTGAACCCGTTCGCAACAAAAATCCCGTCGTTACTTTTGTTTTCCTTATGCTTCGCAACTTTCAACTTTCTTCCTCTTTTTTTCATTTCTTTTTATTGTTTTATACGGAGATATTTACCTTCTTAGGTAATTTAATTGTTATTCCTATCACGGTTAAATTATAGTAAGGTGAATGTCTCGATCTCAGTCGGACTTTTAACGGCGCAACGCTAATTTTTGCGAATTTTATAAAGTGAATTTTATAACTTGAAATTTAATGATACAAATATACAATCAATGGAAAGCTGAAATGTCAAAATTTATTATTAAGAAAAGAAAGATGTAGAAAGTTTCAAAATTAATTCAAAAACAACCAACATTTTAAAGAGCACAAATGTACCAATTTGTCCAAAATCCGAATTTGTCCAAAATTTGTCCAATTGTCCCGAATTGCTAAATTCTATCGGCTCAATATTCGGACATAATTATTATGCAAATAAAATCTTCATTTTTATCGAGTTTTTTTTTACTATTTGAAACTATTCTATGTTAGTCATTATTTTGTTTATAAACATAAACTATATGTTTTGTATAAGATAATAATTATATACTTTATTTTGAATTATCGGCTGTTTAATTAAGTTTCTTACTTTTTGCGCCTTTATTTTTTTTATCAAATCTCTTTATTTTCTAATAAGTTCAGTGCCAGAGGTTGAAAATATCACTATTAGATAGAGCGTGCCCGATTTAGTTATGAAAATTTTTGAGATTTTTGCTAAAAACTATTCCTCTTCATTTCAAAAGGGTGGACCGGCAGTCCGAAACATCCCTTATGATACGAGTAGATATTATAAAGGTTATGATAGAAGTGATCAAAACGTTCACTTAACGCATAGAATATCTATTTATTTTTTTAACTAATCTTGACAATACTATTATATAGCCTTATTTATAAAAGTACTTATGAAAATAATTTTAATATCAGTTATTCCTCAGTTTGTTTATTGGTAATCGTAAGTACATGTGTCATCAAAATGAGTTGCATCGCTAATTAAACATGTGGTCGATTACTAGGCATTTATGAAATTACTGTAGCTAGACTTATAAAATTTAGTTATAAATAACTTTTTTTTATTAACAAAATGCATTCTTATAATTATTCTTCATTTTCTGATTGAATCCTCTAATATTCATAAGATAAAAACAATAAAATAAATAAGAAATATCTTAACAAATATGTCAAACATCTTAACAAAATGTTAGAAACGTCGTCAAAACATGTTTCGTATCTAATCACGTTATAATTTTCTTTTTCGTTGGATACTAATTTTTACGATATTTGAAATCATTCATCATGCAATTATTTTTCTATATTAATAGATTTCAATTAAATGTTAATGTTACACCAGAGAAAATATTTGAGATCGATGATATTAAGTTTCTGTATATATAGGGTGTTCCAAAATAATTTGCGTGAGAATTCGTGGCAGCGTAGAACGGATTAAGGTGAACAAGAAAAAGAGTCCCATATCGTTTTACGATATTCGCAATAATTATCGAGTTATTAATTATAGAAATCTGATGAATGAACGCGCGCCGAGATGGATGATTGGAGGAGCATTGCAGTCACTCAGGCAAGAGCGCGGCCCAATTGATCTAGCAATTGTTATCGACGCACGGCGAGATAAGACTAGCGACTAGCATTATCCTTTCCCTCTCCGCGCGCTGGCAACAGTTGGTAAATTGATTGGACCCATAGACATGATATATCTGGACTGCGCGTTCGAGGAGTGAAGATAAAGCCACGTAGAAAAGGATGCACTCTGTTTTATCTGTGCGTTTTCTCCCCCACTCCTATTCTCGATGGAAGAGGAATAGACAGTTGTTAACTTGTACGACAGTGCAGCCGCCGTTTTTTATTTTTTTCCGATATAATGATCAACTTAGATCACTGTGCCTTCAGCTCACCCCGAGGTGTACAGCTGCTGTCATACAGAAGTGTGCGAGAGAGAACGCACAGACGAAACAAAGGGCATCCTTTTCTACACGGGGGTCTACCCCCGTCTTTGAATGCTCGTCCAATACCATTTCAGCGCGCGCTCCCATTCATCAGATTTCTATAATTAATAACTCGACAATTATTGCGAACATCGCAAAACGGTGTGAGATTTTTTTGTGCGCTTTAATCTGTTCTATCTGCCTCCACGAGTTTTGATATAATTGTTTTGTATAAATGTCCGGATATAAGGATATGCTTGACAATTGGTACTTTTACCTGATAAGAGTGTTCATAGAAATGATTTCTTTTTTTAATCATCATCGAACGTTTATTTCGAAACTCAAATCCGATGTTAGGGTCAGTTTAATTACTGCAAGTAAATCAATATGCTAATTGAAGTTTTACCTGTAAAATTTAAACGAGATGACGATGACATTTTATAAATTGGTGTAACCAGGGGCTAAAAGATAAAATTAATCAGATTGCAGGAAAAAAAGTTCCATTCAAATTCAAAAAAGAATTTCAAAAAGGTTCTGTTGAATTGATCGTAATATTCCATGTGGATAATTAACAATCTTTTGTTTCAAATGGAGGTTTTTTATATAAGAAGTGAGTTTGAAGAAATTATAATTACAAGAGAGAAAACTAATATGCAAAGAGTTTCCAGGACAAAGTTTGTACATTTCGGAATATTCGTATCCGTCTGTTGGAACCGCGCACACTTGTGCGCAATGAACGTATCGACCGCGAGCACAATGCGTGATCGGATCCATTGTCAGTCGCCGCGATCAATCGACACGCGTAGGAGTTCAGCCGGCGGGAAAGCAACAGATGAAAAGCGTGCCAACATGTGCGGTTCGCTCGTTCCCTGAAAGCTAAAGAGTAAGAGAAATGTCATACTCATAAGAAGAAAGACAAACAGTTATCCCTTCCACGTTGAAATATCGGCCAATCCTGATAGATCCGCCTTCAACGTCCTTTGTCGAGGACAACAGAGTACCTGTGTTCTTTGTGATAGTGGGATCAGGTTCGTTCTTTACGTGTTCTGTCAATAAATCGTTTGTTGAATGTTGCAACATTATGCATGCATGCATGCATACATACACACACACACTCACATATATATATATATACATATATATATATTCTTATATTTATAACTTATAATTATTCTGGTAACAGTCAGATGATTTGTTGATTGGAAACGTGTCGCGATGGATAACAGCAAATCGAAGGAGAGTCGTAGGAGAGGTCGGAGAAGAAATAGCAAGAAGGAAGAAAATCGTGAGTTTGATCAGACAAGTGACGAGTTTTTATTGTGGTCAGATTATTCTACCATCGAAAATGAAGATACTGTGGGCACTGATACTGTGGAAAAAGGATCGTCTCCTTTGGGAAACGTTAATAAGGGTGATGGTGTACTAGATATATTCTTCCTTTTGCTTATATACTTTGTAGTGAAAATTCATTTCTTGATAATTTGTAAACTGTGCAAATGTAGTTTTGCAAATATAAAAATTAAACAAATGTTTTTGGATACAGGTACAAATATGTCAAGTTATTAATTATTACATATCATATTTATAAATATATAAATTTTCATATAGCACAGATAGTATGCAATATATATATATATATAATAATATAATAAAAAATATGCATATATATATATTGGATAAACATATATATATGTGTACATATATGTATATACATATATATTGGACAAAAAATATATATGCAATGTTATAACGCTGTAGCAATGTTGCTACAACTATCCTTGCTGTATGAGCTATAACTTGGCAACATTTCTTTTGTCTCTAACAAGCAGTGGTATTAATAATAGAAACAAGAGTAATAGAAAATGAGTAATAGAAAAATAGTAATAGTAATAGAGATAGTAATAGTAATAGTAAGAGTAATAGAGAATAGAAAAAGAGTAATAAAAAATGTAAGAATAATGAATATAGTTAATTAATTTGTAATTTTGTTAAACGCACGAAACATTTTGTATTCTTTGTAATTATATTGTTGATTTATATCTTTTCTATCAAAATGTTTTTCACTTCTTCACTTCTTCTTCAAATGTCCAAATTTAAATTTCTATGAATTGAAATATATCATCTGAAATAATATTATATAATATGAATATAATGATATAAATAATATGAATGAAGTAATTGTAAAATCTGGTCAATTCTTTTATAGATACTGTAATGTAATGTTTGTCATTAATGTTTTATGTTAGATAAGGAACTCTTGTATTATATTTATTGTTATTTTCATAAATAGTTTTATACTTCTGACTTGAAGTTACGTTCATAATTAAAATTTCTAGTTAAAAATTATACATTTGAGAATATTATTATTCTGTTATGTTGATATATGTTGTGTGTGTTTATATATATGTGTATATATATATATATATAATTAATTTAGAAATATATGTATATATATTTCTAAATTATTAAAATTCATAAATTATAATATTGATGTATTTGATTTAGTATATCTGAATATATGATAATATTTGTAACATTATATCTTTAATATTACATAGGTGATGAAAACAAACCAACATTCTCACTGATGTCTCCTGCTTTACGTCGTCAATTACAAACACACAAAAATATTCTTCGGCTTCTACATGAGAATAACCTTCTCTCTACTCAAATTAATGGCCAAAGAATTCTCAGCATTCAACCAATCCGATGGAGTGGTCCAACACCAGGAATTGATTGCGAGATCTTTGTTGGTCGGATTCCTAAGACAATTTTTGAAGATACCTTATATCCATTGTTCAAAATAGTAGGCGAGATCTTCCAAATCCGGTTAATGGTGGACATGGCTGAATTAACAAGAGGATATTGTTTCATTATGTATACAAATCCAGAGAATGCAGCAAAGGCCATTGCACAGTTAGATCAATATGAAATTTTGCCAGGCAAAAAAATACGTGTTTTAGCGAGTGTGAATAATTGCAAACTCTATGTTGGTCCTCTGCCATGGCATATTACATCAGAGGAGGTTGTTAGGGTAAGTTTTTTTGTTTATATCTTTATATTTATATTTTAATTATGCTCCTTTTATAATTATATATTATAGTGCTATGCGGTAGTAGATAATGCTAAAATAAATAAACTTGTTAACAGCAACTACATGAATATATTATATAGATATTTTATTTATTTTATTTTTATTTTTTATTATATCTGTTTATCTTTCTTTATTGCATGTGTAGGTGATCTATGCATCAGCATGGGATATTGAGTTTGTATCAATTTATCGATTCCTCAATCATAATGCAGCATATGCTATAGTATCATTTAAGTCTCATCGTAATGCGGCTTTAGCAAGACGTAAATTAAGACCAGAAAGACTTTTTAAATGCAATGAAGTGCATGTAGAATGGGCACATGTTGATTGGGATCCTTCTAATGTGGTAAGTAGGAAATTATCTTGAACTTAACAAGTTCTTTAACAAGTTTATGAATAAACGAGATTTCAATTGATATTGAAGCATTAAGATCTTATATAGTTATTCAAATTTCCACTTTTGGATTTGATTATTTTTATAGAATTTAATAATAGTGGCATTTCTTAGGATTATTGAAAATGTTTAACATAAATTCTCTTGTATCTTTTTGCTTCAATTAGAATTGGAAATAAATGCAGAGAAGAGATTTCAAACTATAACTTTGTTCTTTATTTATAAAAAATCAAATTTTATAAGAATGTAATACATTGTTTATAATTCGTATAATGTTTATAGATAATTGTAGAAAAAAGACTAAGATGTTCATTGAACACACATGTCATATTAGAATGTGTATGTTTATTTGATCAGACAGTTGAACACTATGAATTTATGTAACAAAGCGCAATTAACAGAAGATGACAAATTAGGATTGAGAATTCAAATTAAAATACTTATTATTATGATATAGTAAACTATTTGAGTCAAAGAATCAACATTTGAAGTGACATCTAATAAGTTGATTTATTTCTGGATCATCGGCGGAGCAAGATAGCAACTGTTTGAAATAGTTTTCCTTCTTTTCCACTATGAGGCGCTTGCGTGCTTTTAATCCATTCTCCAGGCTCAGTCAGCCGCATAGTTGCTAGATGCAATATATTGCGACGCTATGCAGCGCATGCGTGAGATGACGTAAGCACGCTGCTTGAGTAAAAGTCTCAGTATCGTATCTCTTTTAAGGTATTATAGCGCATATATTATACTATGCATTGAGAATTGCAATCGAGTAAATTAGATAATCTAAATCGTGGTTATTTTAATTGGTTCGATAGTAATTCTCAATCTACATTACAATTTTTCACTTAACAATGTCATTGTTACATTGTTTACATAATACAAGTATTATGTAACAGTGACATGGTCGAGTGAGAAATTATAATGTTAATGTAACGTAACTGTATTTAGTATCCACTGGACAACATAACCTGAGATAAGGCACTCGCGCAAGAAATGCGGGAAGACAGCTGATCGGATAGCGTGGGTCCCTCCATGGACCCTGCGATGCGCTTTATTGCCGTCATTGGCATATGCTTTCGTAGAGCTCCTACGTCTCTCACGCATGCGCTGTAGCGTCGCAATATATTGCACCTAGCAACTATACAGTTAAGTTTGACTGAACTTGACAAGATTGCCAGCTGGCGCTGATTGTTTGTGTGGGTAGTTTCATTCACGCGGTCATCTCAGACGTTTGCGCGAGTTTTTTTCTCAACAATGAGCGTTTCTAAAGTGCAAAACGAGTACTGCGATTATCGTAGTCCTCTGTCGACTCGATATGCCTCTAAGGAAATGCGATACAACTTCAGCGACCAAAATAAATTCAGCACGTGGCGCAAACTCTGGATCTATCTAGCTAAGGCTGAAATGGTATGTGATTATGATATTTAGGGTTAGTTGGTAATTTTTTATTAGAGATGTTTAGTAATTCTCTAAATTATGTAGTTGAATTTCAAGATAAAGTAATCGTATCAATTCTTACATCATACTCTGTGAGTAGGTTTCCCACATATGATTATATATGTGCTAATAATGTATTTCACTTGTTTTCACATTTTTAACATTGTAATTAGTTTTCTTTATCTGGTAAGTATTTAAAATTGTTCTCAAATCTTGCAATGATATAAGATGTAAAGTTGAGTTAGCAATGTTTCAAAAGAACATAATTTGCTCGTGCTCTTAAAGTTGTGGATTTAATTCTACAGCAAATGTTCTGTAGTGAATCTTAGACACATACTACAAAGAATCTTTGATTGATTTTGATCAGGTAATGAAGTGCTAATTTTGTCTTTAAGAAATTGTCTGGGATCTCGAAGGGAATGAGAGTCTGAAGAAGTATCTTCTTTTCTTTGTATAGATTAGATAACATAGAAACTTTTTTCTTACAAATTGTTGATTACTCATTTTTTAATTTAAAGCAATATTAAAATCTGACATGTTGGCAGCAATTTCGCCAATATTTCTTTGTGATTAGATATTTATAAGCAACACTTATTTTAATTAGAGTTATTTGACAACAAATTTTTTGTTAGCTTATGTAATTGAATATATTTGTATCTACTTATATACATATATACAATAGATTATGTGTCACTATGTTTTATAAAATTTCAAATACAAATATAATATTCCTTGCATTCACACTAAAAGTCTCAGAAGATGAGAATATTTTCGATACAGATTTGAAGTCACTCGACGGATTGGGATATGTTGGTTATCTGTAACAAGCAGAGATTGTTTGTTCTATAAGTTAATCACGTAACTGTTTTTGACGTTGGTATTGCAACATCTTATCGGTTTACACTCAACATTTCGAAAGCATATCATCTTAGTTCCTAAAGGTTTCCAAAGGTTATCCAAACCATCTTTAATGTAAGAAACTTCAGTTACAGTTACAGTTAAAGTTACAGAAGAGAAATAATTATTAGTTATAATCCAATGAACAACATAAGAATTCATCTGATATTGACGATGTTTATCGTCGATGAATTAAGGGAAGTCTGACCCGAGAACTTAGCTTAGTGTCGTTTCTGAATTTTCTAATTTCGTTTTTTAGACGAATATAACAATGAAGTATACATTCTAATATGACAGTAGTTTATTGTTAATAATAAAGTTCTTTCGCAATGAAAAGAAAATGAAATGTATTTTACAAACGACTTACAGCGTAAGTTTGAATTCTCTTCATATTCTGGTAATCACTCCTTATAATGGCTAAATTATATCGACACATATCAATTACAATTCAAAATTAACGATTCTGCTTTCTAACTCACTTTATTATAGCTACTTGCATAACAAACGCGAAAGTTTTGTCAAGATGTTCACATCAATACATCTTATCAAAATGTCTAAAAGATTACAATTCCCTTTTAATGCTGACATTGCAACATCTTATTGTTCTCAAAACATTTCGAAAGAATATCTTCTATCATCTTATGAGTATCTTATACATACTATATATTTGACTATTCATAGTTTAGGAAGAACAATCAAGAACAATATCAGAAAAGTTAATGAAGAACAGTACATAGTGCTTAATAGATACGCGACAAAAGAAATCTTGAAAAATTAAAATGTCCATTAAACTTATACATCTTTTGGAATTGATATCTACGTCGTTATAGTTAAGCCTATATTATTGTTTCAACTAGTATTGTTAATATAAACTGAATATTGACAACGCTAGTTACAACAAAATCTAACTTCCTCTTTGTAAATCACGTCTTGATGTCATCAGTACGAAGACCGTGGCACAGTAGACTGTAAAGGCGATGTGCAGATTACTCGAAAGCATCTGCAATACAATAAGAAGTCTACGCATTTATCAACTTCAAAGTCAATTTCACCGATCTGTCCACCCGATGACATGGAAATCAATCGCTCTAAGAATACCCACGGTTCCAATAACACGCGTTACTCCAATATGTTAACCATGTCAGCTGCACTGAACGACTCTCTACTTGAGTCATGTAATAAAACAGCGGATGTAACAGAGGATGTAAATACACATGCCAACGAGGCGCAACTAGATGGACATTGCGATGTTGCAAAGAATAAGATATCCCTGAAGGATTCTAACAAGGATAACTTTCGCAACTTTGATATGTGGAACTCTAGCTTGGTCTCTCAGTTACCCCGCTCGCCTGTGAGATCTACCAGCCCGAAGAAGCATGGATTGTCCACGAAAATGTTAGATATACCAAGATGTAGTTGGGAGAACAACATAGAACATACGTCGTTAAATATATATAACCCCAAGACATATCAGTGTACGAACAATACTAATGTCTTAAATTATCACGACAAGTATCACTATCATTTGGCCAACGAAAGAGCTGATCCTGGTTACCCGATTGTCACTGACGTTGTTCCGCATCAGGTTCCGTTGTACCAGAATTGTTCTGTACCTGAAACGTCATATTTCATGCCGCAATCGCCTGCGTCACCCGCGGCTCAGCATCCACAAGATGCATCCTATGAGCAGTATTTAATATTCAACTATTTCCGCAACATTCCTCAGATGAGTACGTCTGTGCCAAGTTATCAACATAATTATTCGCAAACAGACGGTGAATCGCTCGCGATAGATCGAGTTTTTATCTCAGGTAGAAAGAAGAACGATCGCAAAATGCGGCCTGCGAAGACTCCAATAAAGACGGAGAATAACGCCGCGGTCTCGTTCTCGTACACTGGTAATGCTCAGTCGGCGAAAATTCAGAATATGCCGAAATTTGCGCAAAGACACGCGCGAAGAGTCTTACTGGAGAACACATCTAGCAATGTATTATCTAATGATGCTAATGACGGAAGACATCCAAGACCGATCTTGAAACAAACACCCGATCGCGTTTTGCCATGATGATTGGGATCTTTTTTTCTTTTTGACACTTTACGGGTATTTTAGAAAATGGCTGCGTTTGAATACCAAAGAGACGGTTTTTATGTTTATTTTACGTACTACAATACAGCAATCATTAGAATATTACTTTCCTTTTTTTACGTTAAAACGATCTCCAAAAGTTGTTGTAGCAGTTGTAAGTAGAATAAGATTTTTTTTTTTTTTTAATGCATGTCCCGTTAAACTCGTTACAGTTTCTTTAATCTATAATTCGTTTTATATTTTACGACATTTTAACAGTAACAATATAGCTATTATATGTTATTATCTTCGAAGCTACGTATCATCGTAGGCATCTGTAGACATATGTCTCTTTTTCGTTTTTTTTTGCGCAATCGCGGTTCGTTTACGAAAAGGCGTTTACGAAATTGCAGATTTACATCGGATTAAGTTTCATCGAATCCAATATATATCTGTTTTTTGTTTGGTATTATATACTATATATATTGGTATCTGTTATATTTAAAAGCGAGATGTATCATCTACGGGCTATCGATATAACTTTTAAAAATATTAGATTTTTTATCGTTATGTTTTTATCATTAATACATGTTATGTTTTTACCATCAGTACATGTTTTGAGCAACAGGAAAGTTTCAAAAAACACATCATCAGTAATTACGTAAGATCATATTTATCATGCTATATCTCACGAGTACAAGACTGAACTGGAGAATCGTATAAATGACATTAAGTAGTATTGCAGCGATAAGCGGATTACGAATAATACATAAGAACAATCGTGTTTTGAAGAATATTACCAAAGTATGGAATCATGTTCTCTTCTAGCAACATTGTTACACAGTTACGATCCATAATCAACAACACACAATCAGTGCTGCTATTCTTCTATATATTTTCGCGCGCATACTACGAAAAGACAAACTGTATTCCTCATCTCTGTTTGTAACGAAAATTATTGTAGGAATAAATTTTTAAGAAATCGATTTGCACAATTTTTCCTTTCACGTCTCACACAATACATACCTCATGACGTGAGAAGTCTCATTAGTCACACCAAAATCATGATGCTTCACATGGAGTAACGAGAATCTGCATATTTTTGCGATCGGCTGCACTTCGGGCAGGCCTTTGATTTCAATGGATTTCTCTGTGAGTAAAAGAATATTTACGTTCCTTAAGGTTCTTGGATCTCACCGCAGTCATCAACGAGATAGTTAAAAAGGAGAAAATGCACGCGCAAAATTTCTGCAAAGTACGTCGAAATAAAGAAATATACCAAAAAATGCAACCGACGCTTGCGACTAATCACCTACAAAATATTCCGAACACTCCTATTATTTTAACGCACACACATACAACCGATAAGCTATCGCAAAATTAACATGATAAAATTATAAGAAAAGATAAGCTGAAAAGGTCAGTTAAGCGTTAATTTTACAATAATTTATTGATTGTTGACTTGGAAGGAAAGTTCGGAATATTTTTACATACACATCTCTTTTCTATTTTTCATATATAATTTTTATATCTTTCACTTTTTTGACATATATTGCTAAGATCATAGTTCTCTTAATTTTCACAGGATTTTTAACAACTTTTGTTAAGCTTTTTAATAAACAATAAGCTTTCGAGTGTTGTTCAGAGTGATGACTTTGACAACGCACGTCAGAGTCAATCTCGTATCTCGTTCCGTTAAATGAAATATTTGCCCTTTTTGCAACTAATTGACTGCAAGTATCATTTTTTGGAACGTCATTCTTTTATTTTAACGCATTAGGCGGGATTTTGAGCATGTATTTTCTCGCTTCTAACGTCATAAATCAAGATGAACGCAGCAAGTATCCAGGAAACCTAATTTCGATGATCATTACTGGGTCACTGTTTCAACTTACATCAACGACTTGAAGAGAGACTCCACAATTACTACACCGCAGTCCCTTTGCGACGTTAATCTTGCGTGTCACCTAAAGTGCACAAAAATATTTTTCTGTCAGCAAATTGATTTTTTAAATTAACGAAAATTGTTTTCAACGGCGAATTTAAGAGATTTCCGATGTATCATTGATGAGCTCTGCGCAATTACAGAACGAATTTTTTAACCGAACGTATGGGATGATAATTTCTTTTTTCCTTCAGTAAACAAGCATATTCGCGTTGGACGAGTTTGCGCCATTACCTTTTTACAACTTAACGGTGCACACAATTCGCACAAGTATCTCCTTTTGTCCATATAAACAGTATAATATCTATAATTATCTGAGGTGGGTGTGAGATCCTAGAAAGCATATAATCGTTAATTTTTTAATTTTAGATCGAAATCTCGTTAATCTCAGACATAACGAGACTTTGACCTAAAAACTAAATTTCGGACTGACAAGATAAGTGATATCAATTGCCGTTCACACCTTCTGTCGCTCGCAAGAGGGGCAAGCATCTGTCATTTGACGATCCACAGGGCTCGACAATTCAGTGAATTCGTCCTGAAATACGAACAGATATGGCAAAGATGTTGGAATTGCGATTTTCCAGAACTTGATCATTTAACAACGTGAACGTCTCATACTCCTCTAGCAGTTCGATTAACGTGCGTTGTTTCGTGTGATATTTCGTGCCTTGGTCTTCCACTGACATGATCCTCTTCAGATATACTTCTAAATAAATAAAATTGTATTCAATTACTAAATGATACACTAAATGATACTCCTGACGAGACGATTAGCTCGTATTGCAGCTTTGTCTATTTATCATACTCGATTTATTGTAATTTGCGAGAGCTTTTGTTTGCCTTACATAGTCATTGCCTCAACAGGGTCCACTTTGTTCAACTTCAAATGGGGGAACGTTTTAGATCTCGCTCTACCGGTCGGCGATGTGATGCGCGTGGTGTTCCTAAAATACGATCATTGTTCGTATTGAATTATCCATTTTTTCAGACAATCCCAGTGAGCAAATTGCGCGCTAATTTACAGCAAATTCAAAAACCCATATTAAAATTATAGCCATCCGTGTCCGCATTCAGCTCGTGTTTTGGCATCAAGGCCTGCTGCCGGATAACTTGCATTAAATTTGCAGCAAAAACCGCGCAAACCTTGCTGCGCATAACTTAACCTAACCTAACCTAACCTAACCTTGCCTTGCTAAGTTATGCGCAGCAAAGTTTGCGCGGTTTTTGCTGCAAGTTTCCCAGCGGCAAGCTCTGTTGCATATTTGGCGGCAGTTGGCGCAACAGAATTTGATGACACAGACCTGCATCAAATGTATTACCTATCTGCCATCAAAAATTAATAGCAAACTGCTCGAAATTTGTTCGCGCAAGTTTGGCTGTCTGGGATGTGATATTGAGAATCAATTTAACGTCTATAAGATATAAATAAAAAATTCATTCATCATACCGTAAGATAATATACACTTACAGTTGTGTGGAAACTGAAGGTCCCGGCGACTGTTTGACCTTCGCCATGTTTCCCTGTTCCGATGTGCACGCAAACTGTCTCCAAATTTTGGTTTGACCTTCGCCTCCTCCTCTTCCTCTGTTCACTCCACTAAAGTAGACGTTATATTTCGCTTCCTCGACTAATTCTTCTACTTCCTTTTCGATTCTCTCTTTATCAATCAACGATGTGTCTTCGTCTTTTGCAGTATTCTTCTCTCGACTGTTCTCCTGCAAGGTCACGAAGGTTTTCTCTTTCACCTGTTCCGTCACAGGCTCAACGGTCGTCGAGTCTCTATTGGACTTCTCATCTTTCGCAATCGTCGCGATTGTTCCTTTCGCGAGAACCCGGCCGACGTCTCGCATTGACGCATCGTCGTCTGTTTGTCTCGTCCTTCCTCTTGCCTCTGTCATTTCGATTTTTCCTTTGTAGCTAAGATTAATTGAACATGGATAAATTGTAATTTCCAATTTTTTTTTATTTTTCGCAATTCCCTCTCAAACGCTTCCGATTGCTTTGCATCGTTACACAGATTATTAAGAGTAACAACATACACAGGGTCTACATGGCGATTTGGTGGAGTTTGATATCTTTTGGTCGCTGTCATGTAGAAAACGGGAGTGACAGATTCCGTCGTTTCCGCGGAAGTCTCATGTTTTTTGCTATCGTTCTTACTCACGGAACCTTTAATGAGAATTGTCGTTTAACAGCATAGCGACGACACATTAATACCGCGAGATTCAGGGTCAGGCTTGTACTTTTCAAGAACGCGAGCGAAACGATTGAAAAGTAGTCTGAGAAGTTGACGCGGCAAGCGTCAAAAGCCTCGTGTGACAAAAATTGAACTGTGAAACGGCCTTTTTGCTCGCGCCACGACAAGTCCTTCATCCTGAATTATTGAAGGACTTTGATCTAATTATTATGTCAGATTTACTCGCAACCTGCTCTGTTCTTTCACTCGTATCATCTTTATGTGAAGAAGCCGGTACTTGTTGTTGCTGCTGTTTCGTGCTCTTTTTCGCAGACTGCTGCGGCGGCTGCGTTTGCGTAGCATCACTTGGACACTTGCACCTGTGGAAGAGTTCTGTGTATTGTGTCCCAAGTTCTCGATACAACAGTCAGAAGGGCGTTTGTGCACAAATTACTTGGGACAACACATGCCGATTCCGCGAATGACTTGCAAAATGGCGGGATAAGCGGTCCATTGCGATGGGTCCTGCGAGCATAACGGTCCGCATGTGGATTCCTCGCTAGGTGGCATCAGTCGCTGGCAAAATTCGCATTTGCTCAATGTCTGTATCGGTGTCTCCCTTGTGATGGCCGTCGGGGTCTGTTCACATACGTAGACATTGATATGGCGGTATAATATGAAGAGTGAAAAATTGGCCCGAAAGATTACAACGTCCTAGGTTCGTGTCCACTTTGTCAATCTCACTCGTTTAACCATTAGATCCTCTAACCCGAAAGATCAATTGGACTTTTCTTTTCGTTGAAATATGAAAAATGCCCGGAGGAAGATATTCTCTCAAACTGAATAAATTAAAACACGAAGGAGATTGGTTTACAGTCGATTAGTGACACTTGGCCGATCGAATCGAATATAACTCACTTGAATCTCCACCGCAGAAGTGTCCTTTGGTTCTGTCTGGATCTGAGCGACGCCGAGATTACATAACGACGGCACGCAGGTTGGACAATCGACGTATTGTCGGCGCCGAATATTCTGCACTTTCCGATAATAATGTTCCGGTAACGACATCTCTTTCGCAACACTTTCAAACTCACTCGGCAGTCGGATGTCACTTATGCTGGTCGTTGTGTCTTGCTTGGCCTACATTTATTCGAGAAAAATGCCATTTAAAACGAAACAGATATCAAATAAAATTACTAGAATCGAATAGATTTAATTGATAAAGATTAAATTATTTCTTAAGGTATTTATGCACAATTAATAAATATTCACCTACACCTATGTAGGACATTAAAAAAAAAGGATTCAGGACTTTAAGAGCACATAGTATCCACAAAATAGAGGAAAAAAATCTTAATAAACATGGATCGAAAAAGTAATATTGTTGGAGTTATGAACAGTTATTTATTTTAATTAGCAAATGACTTACTCGCTTCTGGTGCTTTTGTATTCTCTGATGCAATTTGTCCTTATCATTCATCGGTGAAGAAAATACTATGTTCTAAAGGAGTCCCTAAAACAATCTCTTCGCTCTTGTTTGAAATGTAAACAAATATATATTTTCTTCTCATTTTTACACACGTTTCACCAAACGATTGTAAGTCACATATTCTCATAAACAGTGAACAGTTGCAGAGAGCTTTTCACGTGTAAGAATGACATCGTGTTATTCTAATCAAGAAATGGCAGTAATGCGTTTCATGTATGGCCGTGCATCAGAGGCGAGTAAGTCACTTGCTCTAATTAAAACAAATAATTGTTCATAACTCTGACGATATTAATTTTTCGAGCCATGTTTATCTGGATTTTATCCTCCATTTTGTGAATACTGTCTGCTCTTAAGATCCCGAACCTTCTTTTTTTTAGACACTCACATATGGAATACGAATTACACCCATTTATTATGCGTTTTTCGTCAAATAAAAATTTTCTCCGTGAATACTCACCTCGACAATGGTGACATGTGGTTCTTCGCTTTTGCGAATCAAACCTTCTGTTGCTTCAATGCAACATCGTCTGCAGTGTGAGCATTTCCTCTTCCAAAATCTATGAAGGTATAAAAAAGATTATTCGATCAACCCCGAGTCTTTCGTTTCCAGGATATATATAATTAGTTGATAAATAAAGACTCACGCGAGCACCATGGTGATATCAATGAGAAAGATTATCGCTGTCAGTAAGCATAATGCTATAGCTACTATCTGTTCCGCGTGCTCCGTATAGGCGTTCAAAAATAGCATAATTCCGGCAATCGTGAAGAGGAAAGCACCAAGTAAGGAAAACGCAAGCATCTGTAACAATACAATAACTGCTCTTACCGTAATGTTTGCAATTAATTTTACAGTTGTATTAGTGACACAATAGGAACATGCAATAATTGCCAGATATTATCTTCCAGCCTGTCAATTTTTATTACACATTGATTTTCTCGGAAGAGACATAATTATATAATTTCCGAGGTAAAAAAATATATGTTGTTTAAGATGAATCTTTTTATAAAATGGTCTCCTCTAAATTGAGTGACAAGAATGGTGGATAGAGTACAAGTACGTTACCGGAAAAACGTGAGAGCCATTCTTGGAAAATTGTCCGATCAACTCGATGGCTAAAATGAAGACGTAGATGCCTGATAGGACGATTAATAGAATGCAGGCCAGAGCGCTTATCGGCGTAGGATCCAAGGTAACCATGTAGACTGTACACGCGAATAGCAACAACACCACGAGCTACCCCGAAAGAAGATGTAATCATTAATAATAATTTTATACGATGATTTTATATTGATCCATAAATATTCCGATAACATATCGGATAGAGTAAGGAGAAATCCGGTACGCACGAATTGAAATATCCTCAACGGCTTTATCATAGTCAACACACATTTCGTCATCTTGTGTTGCGACAGCTTCATTATTCAAGCGACTTCTTCGAATATTAACGCAAAGTTGCGGTAAATAACACAGGGAAATGTCACTTTGAAAGTTCGCGGACATATTGCATATACTTTTGTTTCTCCAATCAATGCCGTTTCCATAATATCATTCTAACGGCCAACTTCGCGCGCGTTTGCGGAATTTTCATGAGGAAATGTTTTAAGGGAAACGATACTCCATATATTTCTGCATTTTTCTTCATAAATAAATAACTAAATAAATAAATAAATATATTAGGAAACATACATATATATTATATAACTTAGAATATATATAAATATATTAGGAAACATACATACATATAATGGTTTGTTAAATAAAGGAGAAGATATTATTATGGCTCTTATAAGTATAATAAGCTCTTTTAATTAGGGACTACTTATGGAATCATTAATCAGTTTAGCCCATTGTTACACAATGGCGGTAATATGCTATTAGAATGTTTAAACAGACCGCGCGCGAAGTTGGCCGTTGTATCAGCGTTGCGTCATTAATCTACATACATACATTATCCTAGAAATTGATTTTTTTCTTTTTCTTTCTTTTATTTTATGATCTTGTTATGCAAAATTTCAATCATTGTTAAGTGTAAATTTTTATGACCTACCTCCGAAAACCGGTATCCATTCTTTTTTGTATGTTTATGTAGATAATTTTCTTATTTTTTCTTTTTCTTAGTAAAATTTATAAAAAGTAAAAAAGGGATTTACCTCGTGAATAAAATAAATAAATATATACGCCAATATACAATAACCAACATTTATTATAACAAAGTTTTAGCTTTCGAGCGTATCGGAACATTTTCAAGATACATTTTAGCATTTAATTACATCTGCTTCCTCATTTTTTAAATTTGGACGTATTATCACATGAATATATTTACGCTTAGGCGTTTTGTTAATTATTTAACAGTTTACTCGGTTGTACACTTTCTAAGTTATGCAAAATTAAACAGTAGCATGATATTTTGTTAATACGGCTCCTTAAACAGTATTTAATCTCCTTTCAGAGGTTTTTATATCGAAATAGTCTCTCGAAAAATCGATTGAGTATGTAGCTTTACTGCTAATCTATAATTTACGTTGCGTACTAAGTTTATTTTGCGTAAATATAAAAATTTATATATAAATATAAAATATATGAATTTAATATAAATGCCACGAAACATTGTACTTTTTTAAATAAAACCAATTTGTTAAACCTATTTTAGTAGAGAGTCATATTGCCACTTTTTTCTTTTTCGCTCATTATGCAACCCTAAGTAATATATAGAAAAAAACATTACACAGCTCTACAATTGATTAAACAACAATTTAACAAATACAAAATTGTGTTGTTTTCCATTTAAAATATAATTTATTAGCAAAATTATATATTGTACAAACTGGTAGGCCATAATATCACCTTTTCCTCTATATTTAGTTATATATTTCCAGGAAAGTATATAGGTGTGTGTGCATATATATATTTATTTAATAGCCATATAAATAGATTAGAAGAACATCCAACAGATACAATAAACTGCAAACACTTGATAACGCTATACTCGTCATCAATCGCCATATTTGAGTCACACCCGCTCTGTTTGTGACGAAGAAAATGCCGAACGCTGCCATCAGGAATAAAACTGTACCCACCACTCCAAACAGAAACATCTATGCATAAATAACTCGTATTAATATTAAACATCTCCCTTATGGAAATTAACGGACGCAGGAATTAATGGAGTTTCTCTCGAAACTCTTTGTCAATATTTGCTCATATTGATAAAACGAAGTAATAACCGCAAGAACTAATACTGACCGGTGTGTCTGTTATCGGCTCGCCGCTAAGTTGACTGATCATATCTATCACAGCAATAAAGAGGAAAGTTGTGTAAAGCGACGTTAAAAGTAATTCTTCGATTTTCTCGTACGGGCTACTGCTGGAGATCGTGTACACGGTTAATGCGAAAATCGCCGCCACCAGTAGCTAGATTTTAATGCAAATTGCTCCAATTATAAGTACAACGAACCGAGACGTTTAGTATCGTTTATGTTAAGTCAAACAATACGGAATTTATCCTTTCTTCCTCAGAATAAGTCGATTAATCGGCAATTAATTATTTTCGTCTAGAATAGATTCGCTACTAAACAAGTGTTTGAATTAATTTCGCTCGGGGTAAATCAAACGAAAAGAGTTCGGATAATTTCATCTGTAGTACGTATAATCTGCTAACAAACTGGATGACACGTATCGGTTTCGCCACAGGTGGAATGTCCTCGCAGGCTACAGGTGTAATGTAACTCTGTGTAAAATCGTGCGGCTGTCCGATCATGACGGAATTCTTGTGCAACGCATCCGATAAGTGGTTTCGCGCAGCTTTTTACAATAACCTCGGTCGACCGTGAAAAACATCGTGGCAGGTTAATCGGATTTCTCTCTGACAATCGGTCAGAGCGAAGTTAGCCATAATAAATGTTTAGACAAGAGATATGTTTATTTTTCTCTCATACTTATTCTCTCTACAATTCGTATTCTTGTTAATGTGTAAATGTGTACATATTTGTAACATATTTTACTACAGACAGAGAGATAAACTGAAAATAGATAAGGCAGTGAGAGAGATACGAAGAAGATAAATGTAAATGAATCTCTCCCATCAACAATATCTTAAAAATAGTCTAAAACCTTTCTTATTTGAACATTCTACACTCTACAGAAATAAATGCCTTTTAAATACAAAAAGTGGACGGATTCGTTCGCGAATAAATATTTCGCCGTTATAGCAAAGAATTATTCCAAATTGCGGCGATTACGCGCGATGATTGCGATTTCGCATATTCTATCTTATTACACTGCATAACTATACTAATATATAAGATTAGTACAACTATATCGGTTGTTATTGCGAACTGTCCTGATAATAATTACACGCATATACATGTACGATGTTACTTACACGTTATTTAATTACCATATATAATCATTGCGACAAAAATACAAATATAATTACTATTATTATACTACTATTATCATACCTATAATACGTAGATAAATTTCGATTACGTTGCTTATTTATGTCAGTTGATTTACAAAATTAATACTTGTCAAAGATTTATGATAGATTTACACTATCTTCATTCGGGGTAGATGTGTTACATCTCTTCCTAACAATTTCTTAAATGCAATCCATTTGGTTCTACAAATCGTTAAAATCTCTATCACGTAGAATTTATAAAATATTGGTATATGTCGATTTAACATTTGGTCACTCGTAAATTTTAAAATGCTTAGTAAAATTGGTCTCAACGAGTTAATAATAAATTTTCAATATATGTATATATATATTTTTTTTATACTATACAGGGTGTCCGGAATGTGATCATTAATATTTTGTGTACTGGTAGATTGGGTGTAGCCGAGAAAAAAAGTCATGTACCACAATGTCAAATTGGCAATAGTTATCGAGTTATTAATTGAAACATGTGAGCCAATGAGCGCGTAGAGAGCGCTGGGCGGCCGCCTCTTGTCGCTTGCGCTCGCTCGCTCGCTCGCTCCTCGTCGCGCGCGCACGCCTCTTGTCGCTTACGGTTGCCTCTCGCCGCGCGAGGTAAGCTATCTTCTTATACACATAGCCCGTCCTGTCGCTTTCTCGTGCGCTCATTCGTTTACACATTTTAATTAATTACGGAATAACTATTGAAAAAATTGTAAAATGGCACAGGACTTTTTTAATTGTTTTAACGAGTTCTACCAGTACACAAAATATTAATGATCACATTCCGGACACCCTGTATATAACCAGGAAATTTCGTGCAGCTTTGATAGAAATCGTAAGAATGTCCTCTGCATTTCTAAGAATTGTTTTTTACATTGTTCTATATTTTATATAATAAGTAGCAACTTATATATTATATTAAAACTGTCTCTTCGTCTTCGATGAATTAATGCATGTTACCTTCGTACACGGTCCAGGTTTGATTAATGTTTTATTTTCTCTCTCTCTCTCTCTCTCTCTCTCTCTCTCTCTCTCTTTGCTGTCAAAAATCGAACTTTCCTGGTTATCTGGTTCATTTTAAAGAGATTATTCATAACTTTGGCGATACTCGTACACGCTTTAACTTCTTTGGATCGTCGTATCTTTCATAAAAATGTGCAATTCACGAGTATCTCAATATGGCGATAATCTCCGCGATAAATACTGCCGCATTCACGAACGTAAACACTGCTGCGGATATGAGCATGTCCATGTACTGCTTGCTGGGATGAATCTCATTGTTGTACACATAAAAATAACGACCACTGATGTTGCGCCAATTATGGACCATCAAACTTCCGGCTACGACGTGCATTAGTGCACCCACGGACGCAAACATTAACAACTGCAACAGTCAATCAATTGGCAATTGAATACGCGGCTTTTGCCGTTAGAAGTACAACCTGCAATAATCCCGGTAATTTCTCATTTTTAATAACCAAACGAAAAGTTTGGTGAGACCTTTGCAACTTGTGCAACTTGTGCCTTTTAAAATTTAACTCTCTGGCAGGATTAAACTGTATCTTTGTGCGATTGAGCTCCTAAAGCTGTTGTTTGCTGTAAATTCTTTTTCGACGTTTGTTTTTCTAATTAAGGCAATAAATGCGTTATCGCAACAATTAATCGCACTAGAAAATAAAATTTTATCACTTGTGTGTGCGGTGTGTGTACGTGTATGTGTACGTATGTTTCGTCGCGTTTACACAACTAGGAAGTCGAGATGCATTCCTGTTGTTTGTCAAGGTCTGCCGCGAATGCTATCGATTGTCCCTCGTAATAAAACATCGGTGCGTACGTGGGATTTATGCAACTGGGAAGTTTTGGGTCGAGTGACTCATGCTAAATTGCTCCGATATTTCGATATCTGCTCTGATCGCTCGCGTCGCGCGATCGGCAAACATCGCATGAATTTTATTCGGAGACACACTTTTAAACGCGCGCGTAGTACGCGCGACGTCGGAGTTACAGCGTATCTCTCTCATAACGAGGCCTTGATGCCTTCGCTAATTAACGCATACGCAGTCGCTGCCTGCGTAATGACTCAGCTGTACAAATGGACTAGACGTATCGTAGTTGTAGTCAATGGTGCCTTACGGACACACGGATAAAGTATAGCAGAGATGTGTACAGCGAAACGTATTCACAGCATCGGCTTTAGGAATCTGCACGCGATCCGTGGAAAATCAATAAACGATCTCTCGACAAGTGATCGTCAATTTCCTCATATTTACGTGACTTTCTGAATTAGAAATTAATTAACATTTAATATTTATTAATATTTAAAAATTAACATCTGTTTCGTCACCCGGGGGAGGGGTGCGAAGTGACTTCTATGAAAATTTATCTCGGTGAAAGAAAAGAGAGAAAAATGTCATATAAATAATACACAATAAACTATTCATTACACGACCAGACAAACAGCTTTAGAGATTATAGTTCCTTGCGACTTTGCAAACTTTTATCTTATAGACTGTATAAGCAAGAGTATGCAAAGTATAGAAGCTTTCTTTCTTTCTGTGTAGAAAAAAAGAAGTAGACCACAGAAACTGCGCAGAAAGAACGTAAGCAAGCCGCGAGGCAAGAAGTAACTTCGAGAAGTGATTTTCATTTATAAAATATTAGCCCGCAATGTATTATAACAGAAAAGACATTACCGTTCTTTTCGGCACGCGATCGCCCAGCATGTGGCCGAGGATGAAGAGCGTATTGATGAGGATATAGCCGGCGACCGTGATGTAAATAGTAGCGGCATCGTCTAGCTTGAATCGCGGCTTGTTGAAAATCCGCTGGAACGAGTTCATCGGATCGACCGCCAGACCGATCGCAAAAATGGCCACTATCTGCACTGAGGTTAAACGCTTCGTCAAGAGCGACGCATACGAGATGAAGAGGATGTCAAAGTCGAACAGTGCAAATAAAAAAATTAAAAGATGAACGATAACAACATGCATTGCGCAACGCTTTGACTTTTTCGTACGTATGATGACAGAGGAGAAGGTGGTATTATGGCCTTCCATTCACACTTTGTACAATAACTTTGTCAATAATCAATATTTTCAAGTGAGAACTGAACGCTTACATTTGTCACAGTGTTGTTTCATCGAATATAGACTCAAACTTACGTAATGTTTATTACTTAGGATGTTATTTATAAAAATGTGTGGCAACACAGCGTAATGAGTCGACGAGAAAATGGGGTGGTATAATGTGGCCTCCCACTAAAACTGATACAAAAAATTGATCTTGTTTAAAATAATAAGTGTCTACTTATGAAATTATTCAAATTAATTTTATTCAAATTAAACTCTTAGAAGGGAAATAATAATAATGAATATAACTGCGAAATTTTTATGTGAATATCGACTCACTTGTTAGGAAATACAATCTGCCAGAAAGACAGCAATGTAATGCAAACGTAAGTGCAACGGTGGAGTACTGATTAGAATCGACTTATCGAATAATTACTTTGGTATAAAAACCTCGAAAAAGAGATGGTATTTATCAGCGGTCTTATGGGACCGCATTAGCAAAATGTTATGTTGTTTCATTTATCTTTGCATAACATGAAAGATGTACAGCCGAATAAAATGTCGAGTAACAAACAAAATACCCAATTATACATATATTCGTATGACAATTTTAATAATAACGAGTTTAATAATAACGAGGAAACATGTCTAATTAAATGCTAAAATGTACCTTGAAAAACATTTCGAAATGCTCGAAAGTAAGAATGCGTTATAAAAAGTGCTGGCTGTTGTGTATTGGTATATTAACGTCACTGCGCTAACGGCAAACTGCTAAACAAATGATTTCATAAGTGATAACTGGAATTCGCGACTTAATAACGGAGATATAAAGAGTGGCCATAATAATACCTTCTCGTCTACAGCTTTTGTTTCTCGCTCCTCCTCTTTTCTTTCGCCCTCCTTCCTCTTGCCTTTCAAAATCATCAAACCAAGCCTGAGTTTCCGTATCACTTAGATAATTTGATTATCATCTTCCAATTAGCAAGATCTCTTGCTCCCGCAATGTAATAATTTGCAATGCTTGGATAACAATTATATCGTGTCGTGTGTTACGGTGTATTTTAAGCCCCGTTTGCAGGATAAGTAAATTTAGACACGTCCCAAATTTCCCCTACTCTAACTCCTACTTTAACGAAAAGAACTGAAGACTGAATACTCGCCACTTCGAGCACTTTGATGGCGATCGGCAGATGGCTCAAAATCCGGTGGCCCTTCGCAACAGGCTGTTGACTCTGTTGACTTTCGTCCGCCATTCTGACTCTTCGATGTTTTCCCTTCCCGTCGCCCAGTTTGGAGGATTTTCAGTCCAATTCGATAGCGATCGATCTTTTCTTCCCGACGCGTTCGCCCCTCAGTGCAGTCTCAGCGACCCTAGAACGAAAAACGCGCGATAGACATCGCGCGCGTAGGGGTGGCACGTGCAAATCGAGGGGTTGAAATCGCAGAAAGCGGGTTTGCGCGCGGCGCGAGTGAAGAATTATAGAACGCGTCACTCCAGAAACACAAGACATACAGAGGACCTTCCTGCGCGTTTCTTTCAATTTAAACGTCATTCCCCTCCGTTACGAATATCCGATATGGAGCTAATAGCGTCTCATTAATCACACACAACTCTCCAAATTGCCGTCCAATTTCTCTGATATAGCCGGCAGGAATTTCAACGACAACGGATTCGGCACTCGGCAGTCATGAAAAATGTCTACATATTTGTGTGACTATGTACGACCTCAATCGATCCTTACAACTTTGCGACTGTTTCCGACTTGCGGTAGCAAACACGACGTACATGTGTACGTCAACAGTAGAGACGGCAGATGTTACCGTAACAATAACGTAACATGATTTCAAGTCGCAAGTCGTGAAAACACCTCGGAATCGTGAATACGGTTTGCCGCCGAATAATATACCGATCGAATGAAAACCGCTCGAACAAAGTGGCTGACAACAATTGCGTGCACGCAATTGCGTAAACGCGGCAAACAGAGACGCATGTTGACGTAACATTTTTGAAATGTAATTAATCGACGTTACAGTTTCCCCTGAAGAGCATACGCACCTCCGAGCGAACGTAATCAAGCCGCGACTGCGCTGGTTGCAATTAATTACAATTTACACGAGTACGAAGCAAACGGGCCGCGCCGCTTCTTGGACTGAACGCGCGCGCTTATTACAGGAATGAGCACAAGTTACGTCACGAGAGTCCGCGACCGGCGACGAAATACATTGTAAAGTAAATAAAGCCGCCAAGCGGTACGCCGTGAATAACAAGCACTCCCCGTCGGCTCACTTGACACACGCTCGTCCACGTGTCCACCGTCTCACCTGCGGCCGCGAATTAAATGGAATTCTAAGCAGCGCACCACTGCACCCTGCACATCTCGCGATTCGAAGGCGCAGCTTGCGAGAGAAGCACCGAGAGGAACGACTGGTCGCGCGATCGCGCCCGGACATGTCGTGTGCTCGGGACGTAATTTATTCGTACTTTCAGCAGGGCGGCACTCCTCGAGGGGACAATTTGCTGCGCTTTTCCTCCGACACGATCGATCTCCGCAGGAGCGAGTCGCGTCGCCGTCCGTCGCGATGTACGATGCAGCCGAACGAGCGTGCCGTACTATGCCGCGGTGCAGCTCGGACTGACACGCAGAACGTGCACGATACGCGATACTTGCGCGATTCTTGCGCAGGCGAAGTATCACGCTCATATCCCACGCGCGAGCGAGTCACACCTAAGCTTGCGGTGTCGAAGGCAAAAGTATCGACTGCGATATTATCCTAGACACGGATAACGATATTTATACACTCCGCGTCTCTCATGATCGCTTGTACGAGGCTGCACCGACGACTGCCCGAAGTCCGCCCGAAGACCGCCTTCAGCGGAAGTGACACCTGCGCCGTATCGATAATCGAAAGACAGCCAAAGGCTGTCGGCTCGGATCGTGTTTTCGCCTGGAAAAACTTTATTCTTTTTTTTTTTTATTTTTCTCCTTCCTCGACATCAGCTGGATTAACATCGAAGTCAACGTCGCTGCGAATATCCCGCGGCCGGCACTCGCGATGGCGGGAAGAAAAACGGAAAAGCGTCGCACCTTGAAGGTGCGTCGAGCAAAAAGTGTATCGGAGCGACGAATTCCTTCCTCCGAGGTCGAATTCTTTCACGCATGGCGGCGTTCGGCTTCGCCAGATTTCCGGTCGGCTTTTTGTTCATCTAAATATTTGTCCTGTACCACTGACGTGTCACGGACACACGAGGTGTCTTTTTGTCGCGTGAGCACGCCCTGATACTGCGTCATCAATTGAACACGCGCAATGACGATGCGTCACAAGTCAGTTGTACATCGAGAATCAGCCGCTGCGGCTTCCTCGTAAATAAACTGAGCGAATCGAAAGGAAGAGGAGAGGCTCCCTGAAGTGTTATTTAGGGCCGATCTTTCAATCGTGGTTTAAACTAAAGATCATCTGATCCTTTCTTGATCCATATACCTAGTTTTGCATCTTGTGTGTTTTTCAAGCATACGCTGAAGACAGTTTAGATAAACCTTTGTTATCCTTAAGTTGGCAACGAAAAGTCATCGCTGCGCGGGTCACTTTTAGGCACGTGGAAATTTAATTTGCAGTCTAGGACACCTACACAACGTGGAAGTCTTGCAATATAATACAGGTCTAAGTTGAGCAATTGCCCTTGAAATTTCATTAATTACTTTACTTGCTGTGCTTTTATGAACACCAGCAAAATTATCTACACTTATCAAGAAGGATCTACTAGCATAAAATTTTAATGTTACTAATATCATTTCGTACATACTGAAACAGCCTGATTTCTGGGAAAAATAAGAAAGACACAATATAAGTAAATTTTATACTATTCGTATAATATTTATTATTAGTAAACACCATATTTTGCAACTAGTCAATTAGTTAAAACTAATATAATTGAAAAATATTTTATATATGTCATTTAATTTATATGACATATTAATACCTTTCAATTGCTGATTGAACAGTGTCTTGAGTTTTTTCTATTAACATATGAACTGTAGCTTTGGATAGGCGAAATCTTTGAAGAAATTCTTTTTCATTCCAAATTTCCAAATGATTTGATCTTCGCCTCACAACACGATTTTTTCTCATGTTGATATGTTTTATATATCCTAAAATATCCTCATCTTCACTATTCTCTTCATAATATTTTTCATCATACATCGTAACAAATATTTTATACTTTTATAAATATTTAACAATATGATTTTAAATATAATAGAAACATTGTATTGTAACGACGTTCATTAATCCATTAAACGACGTTTAAACGGTCATCATCCACAGTTTAGTTAAACTATACTTTAAACTACGTTTTATTCTGATTTATTCTGATGAAAAACAATCGAATGCTTTTGAGCAGAGTTTAAACTTCGATCTAAGTTTAAACCATTATTGAAAAACCGGCCCTCACATATCGATATTAACATCGCCCGATTTTTAATTTTTAATTTAGGTTACCAGAATTTTTTCCAGACAATTGCGAGGGATAAACGCGGTATGAGAGAAACGCAAGACGACAGGATGATATAAATCACCGCTAATCGTTCAATCCTTATTTGGCTTTTTTGTCAATTACGCACGCAAAAGATAAAAAACGCGGAGCAAATTGTAAAACTCTTAAAACATTTCTGCAGAAATCACCTCTCCGGCCGGAAACATATCCGATCTCGTTTCGTGACGGTATTTTGACGTTGCGGTAGAGCAAGGACACGTCGTAATTCCGCGGCCAGCCTGGCGCGCGTATTGAAAAGGCGCACACGATCGTATTACACGCGAGCTCGCGCTTATTTACGCTTCGTGTAATTGTATGGCAGCGCGATTATTTTTAACCCAGGATTACTAAACATTCGTTCGCCGGACTGCCGTATGATTTACAGATCCAATGTTTTTGTTTGGAACGCGCCTGTGTGGGATTGCATAGCAAAACTGTTCGAAGCGTACTGCGCTGAAGGTAATTGAACTCTGAAGAAACAGAGTTGAGGAAACAAACTCGGGGGAAGAGAATTCATCTAGATTTCATTTCTGAATTAACGTCCTCGTTATATACATTTTGAGTTGGGCTCTGTATACTTTTGTTCCTCCTGTTTTTTCTTCTGAATCAGATTTCGCGCGGTTAATAATTAGTTTCTGGAGCAGGAAAAAATTTCATACAGAGTTTATGCGAATCTGCGCTTTTTACAGACAATGTACTCGCCTCTTGGCCGACTTGACCGGAAAACGGATAGTCGCGGTATCGATCCACATGTTGTATGACGAAAGCTTGCCAGTACCTTTTATCATCTATATCGCGATTATTACGGATCTACGTCAACTCGTCCTCAATGAAACATTTATAAAGCGCATGTAATCGCAATCATGTATGTTTCGTTGGGGCTATACAAATGCGCATATAGAGCAGCAGCTTGGCTCTGTCGACGGTACGCAAAATATTATTTTTTTGTTATATTGAGTTAACCTTTAGCAACGTAAGAATACGGCGGCATAGAGCATGCGAGTCTAAAGAGACAAAAGAGGGCAACGCTTATAGGCATACAGCTCGTGTCAAAGCTCAGGGCTCACCGTATTTTACAGTCAGCCTCTTCATCCGGCCGTCTATTAGTTGCCGAGCATAAAAAATCCAATTTATACGGAATTATTATTAGGGGTATGTAAAAGTTTCCGTGGTTTTTAAGGCAATGTTTTTTTATTAATATTATCATAAATGACATTCTTAATCAAAAAGTATCCTTAATCCAAAAATGTTCCGGCGTTATCTACTATTTTCTGCCACTTTTCAGGCAACAGATGGATACCACGATGAAAGAAGTCTTTGCTCTTAGAATGAATGAAATTATCGATGAATTGTTACACTTTCTCAACATCGCGAAATCATGTACCAGAAAGACTGTGCTGCATAGAATGAAATAAGTGAAAATCCGATGGGGCAATATCTGGAGAATATGCCGGATGTGGTGGGACTTTCCATTGCAATTCCATTAAAGTTTCCCGGGTCGTCAACGCAACATGGGGCCCGGTATTGTTGTGCAGAAGAATCACTTTGTTTTGCTTCGTCGCAAAATATGGCCGTTTCTCGATCAATTGCTCATTTAACTGCCTCGATTGTCGACTGCATAATTCCACGGTGATAGTCTGAGATGGTTTTAACAGCTCATAATACAGCGCTCCTTGCATGCCCTACCGGATACATAGAAGGACCTTATGACCATGGATATTTCGTTTTGGCTGTGATGTAGAGAGTTTTCCGGAATTTACCCACGATCTTTTGCGATTGGGATTATGGATCATAATATATTCATTTTTCGTCTCCGGCCACAATTCGATACGAAAAAGACTTGTGTTCGTGTCTATTGAGCAGCGAAAGGCAAATGATGACTCGGTTAGCAATAGCGTGCTCGGATAATTCATGGAGGGAATCCATTTTCCTACCTTCAGAATTTTCTCCACCTCACGCAAGCGTCGAATTACAGTACTCTGATTAACATGTAATCTCTTCGCAAGTTCTACACCTGATTGAGTCGAATCTTCTTGCAATAACGCTTCCAAGTCATCCGAACTTATCTCTTGCGGTCGCCCGGCACGCTCCTTGTCTTTCAAGTTAAAATCGCCATTTTTAAAGCGCCGAAACCACTCACGACATGAACTTTCAGCTATTGTTCCCTCATCATCAGTTTCACAAATGATTCTGATTGCTTCGACAGCTATTTCTGCGCTGATGAAATAAAAAAAAGCATACAATGACGAATACGCGTCTTATCGCCTTCCGTCTTCATACGAATTAAAAATGTTGGTGTTGCTAAATAAAATATGACTTATTATGCATCAATTTTTATGCAGGTTGACCAATACCGACATAATCTAACAAAAATGCATCGCAACTTTCATGTAAATAATTCACAATGCCATCTATATGTGAACGATGGAAATTTTTGCGTATCCTTAATAACAAAGACAACGGCAAAAATATAATGATATATTATACTTAAACATTATAAAGAAATTTGACTGTAAAATTTGATACATAAACTACCTATTTGTATGATCTACACGTTTTGCAAATATAAGAAAAGAATCACTATTTTTTGACAAGGCCAATAATAGAAATACATGTAAGAAGAAGGATTTTATTCCAGCACAACGCGCGCACAAACGCACTTATTATCATAATTACAATAATTATAATAAGTCAATACGATAAATAACTTATTAATAATTCTTTATATTTATTTATTTCTCTAAATGTTATAGGAAAGCAAATAGTGCTAGTGGTGACTATTGAAAAAGACACAATGCCTATACGTGAACGACAGAAACTTTTGCATTTCCCTAACATTATTTCTCAGCCACTAGTAAGCGGCTGAGTAGAGACTGGTTTACAATTTTGTAGATTAGATTTTAGATAATTTCGTAAATTTTGTAAATTAGAAAGTTTACAATTTTTCTAAACTTTCGTTTTAAACGACGTTTCAACGAAATTTCGCTCCCGCTATATTCGATATAACAAGTATTTGATTCGAAGCATATGTCAAGGAATGAAGTATAAGAGAAGAAAGAAACATTGCTCGAAATTACGATTGATTTTACGAATACATACAAGTCTTCCCTTTTAAATTTTGCCCAAATAAGCGAATATTTGGCCCTGTTATATTCTTACGTCCACCAGTTAAACAAATTAGACGCGATCCCGTAATTAACGTGATTACGTATCCGGCTTGTGGGTGGGTGTGCAATCGTACGGTCATCTGCGACGATCGTCAGGTCAAGTAGATTAATTGGTGCGTACAATGGCATGTTATGGCTTATGATGGTATCATCCGGCGGAGTGTCACGCAGCAAATGAGTGTTTCTTTTGAAAAGGACGAGGTGAGTTTCGATTGTCGCCATATTTTTTCCTTCACTTTCCTACTTCCTTTCGTTCTTCGCTGCGTTTCTTCGGTTTCCACAATGACGATTGGACAAAGAGGTCACTTGCATAATTATTACACGATATGCATTATCGCTTGCTGGACGAGTTGAAGATAAAAGTCGCACAGGTCTCAGGCGTATGAGAGGAAAATAAATTTTCATAGTTACACTGTGTGTGCGAACGATATTTGAACATGGTGATTTATTCACGATACATAAGCATAATTATTTGCAATATATAAGTGCATTGTGCAAGGTGTAACTAGGTCGCATTATAGCTGATTGAAAAAAAATATGATCCTTTTGCGAGTACATCAATATACCTGCAAAAAGAATTGTTTCACAGCAGTATAAAGTTTATTAAATTATATGACATTTCTCTCTCTTTCTCTCTCTCTCTCTCTCTCTCTCTCTCTCTCTCTCTCTCTATTATTTTTTTTTCGATTTCAATTAAAAGAAAACTATTGCTCAATCTAATTACTACAATTATTCTATATCAATTAGGTACGTTATTCCTAATGCATAATAGTAAAACTATTTGGCAACATATATTGGCAGCAATATATGAAAAATATCGTTAGGACAACTAATATATGTACTAAAGAATGTAATAAGAAAATATTTAAGTTATCTCATTATGTATACCTATATATTATCATTTACTATCTATACATTACTATTGTTTTATTATATACTTATATATTCTATTGTATCCTATATGAACGTTTTGCTATGAAAATATACTTTATGAATAAATACATGTATACAGAGGTATAAAAATGTAAAAACGCTTTTTTCGTCGTTTATGAAACAAAAAGAACAAAATTAGTCACGATTGATACAACTATATATTTCGAAGTACTGAAAGTGCCTAACCGCGTCCCTGCAATGAAATTTTTACGTTACTTACATAATCGCTATGACATGAATGAATTTTGGAAAATGAAATGACAGTTCTTTGTAAATTTTATCAAACTCTATTACATTGTGATATTTTTTCTGCTAAATTAATTGAACTCGTCTTTTGCGTAATGGAGGAAACTCATTATCAAGTCCAATAAATATGCTGCTCCTTCCAAGACACACAATGAGCCCACGGCCAAACCGATCTGAAATCGTTAAATTGTTTTAATTTGATTTGAAATTGAGTTTTGGTCTTTTAATTTTTGAGCAATTTCTCATTGTTCTACTTTATGCGATAACGTAACTTACCTGTCTCTCTGACGAGTCATATTGGTATTTATGCTCAGGTTGGTAACCGTGCCAGTAATGTAGAGCTGTTCCACCCACAGCCACAAACATAAAAGTCCCGACGAAATTCATGATGATTTCCTTCGTTAAGAAATGTAGAGATGTAATACATATATTTCAAATATATTAACTTGAGATTTTTCCAGTTTAACATAATATAATTTAATAAAGCTGCATAATGTAACGTGTTCTCGTTTTATCAAAAAGAGCACTTGGAATTTATTAGAGATATTACATATCAGAGAATAAATATATTTATAATTACGATCAAAGAAAGCACTACTTGGGCAACTTTTGTGTTAGATACAATTCTCTGATGAATAATGTTACTACCACTTTTGCTACATGTTATATGAGTTATAGTTGATTAAAGTTTTTCATACCAACATACCCAGCAAACACAATACTACAAGTAATGTGGATGTTAGTTGTAATTTCCTACTCAACTCAACTGTTATATTGTTGAGTAGGAAATTACAACTGACATGCACGTTACATGTAATATTGTGTTTACTGGGTAGAATTAAATCGCACACATACGCACATGTAAAAGAAACGAGTACTTACGACGAGAGATCTTTTATGCTCGGTATTTCCGAAACAGAAACTGATGAGCACGACGCTCGTGTACACGAAGAATCCGACGAAGACACCTGAAGCCACGATCTCGGCATCAGGATTCTTGTCTTCGTTTAGGTTCCAAGTCCCACCGACACCTAAAAACTCACCGCCGTATCCTGTACGGTACAGGATCAAAATTATGAGGTTGAGAACCTGCAAATCGATAAATCATAAGAATATATTTGCAAATATGCACATAGAGGCTTGAAAATTTTGTGTAACAATAAGTGAGGCAACATTTCTGGCTTCTAGGAAGAATTTCCTTCACAAATTATTCAATTATAAGTCTCTTTTTAACTATACAAGCTCCAGGAAATTAAACTTCACTTAATCTCAACGGACATGTGTGGGAACGAAAGTTTCATTTAGAGCCGGACTATTGATTTCATGTTGAGAATTTTAAATATGTAAGAAATAGCGATCGAAGGGAGGAAAATATTTAGACGCGACATATATCGTAGATATCGTTTTCGTCTTATCATGATGGAAGGTTTCTGGAGCATGCTAGAGTCCCATGCATCGAAAAGAACGGTAATACGGCGTATCGCTTTCCAAACAACTCGCTTTATCACAAACCACCGATAAGACCAGGAGTGATTCATACGCCTCGTAAGAACGCCCTTTGAATGAGTACATTTACAACGATTTCTCAAGCTCCGATCTTTCGCGATCTCACGTCATCGGCCGCGAAATCACGCTTATTGTGCAACTTACTAATTACAATACGTCACGCGTCAAATCCTCATGACGGCTTTCCCACAACAATGGGTTATTAACTGGGTTATTAACATTATCCGATGCCGACATTTTATTCAATCCACAACGAATCGAACAAATTATATCGTACCCAGCGTGCACATTCATCACAAGACGAAAGATACACATCTTTATATTTTAAAAATTGTCAAGGGAAAATATTATCAAGAGAGCTTTGACCTTTCCTCCAGCATATTTCTACAGGATGTCCCAAATGGCCAAGTATGCTGAGAATGTGTTTGTCGCGATCGTACACAATTAACACAATTTAATATTGCTCTTTGACAGAAATCTCAATTTCGCTTTATCATTATCTCTCGCGGTTCTCGAGAGGCGCTATTTATTAAACAGTTCTTAAATGTCGAAGGCCTGGGACATTTTGCAGAATTCTCTCGACAAGTGTACACCTCACAAGCTCATAACACAGAAATTAAAATACTATCTTCTCACCAATTTTAGCACTTTAATCACTATACTCGCGATAGTCTGCAAAGACACCATGTTTGCCAATTTTTCAACAGCGATCCATTCACGTGAAAACGAACGTACGAAATGAAATCCCGTAGTGCTTTCGATCTTCCTAGCAGAACCCAGCCCTCTTTATCTAATCAGATGATACAGCGAGCACGCAGAAAGGGGGATAAGAAATGAAGATAGCTCTACGTGATGCGTGATATTATGAAGCGATAGTTGAAACCGGTTACATTATACAATCTGATTTCCTCAATCCTCAAAGTAAAATGTCAGTGCTAATTGTAGAGCGAATGTTAGTCAAAGATGCTCATCAGCAATATTTTGTCAGGAACTCGGCCTGGCCATCAAGCCGGAACAAATCGCTGAAATGGAGGCTCATGTTGACGACATCGATTTCGAAGCTGCTGCCAAAGAAGAAAAAGCGACCAGGCACGATGTGATGGCACATGTCCATGTCTTTGGGAAACAATGCCCGCAAGCTGCACCTATTATTCATCTCGGCGCGACCAGTTGCTACGTAGGCGATAACACAGTATGTACCGTTAATTTTCTAGCACCTCGAGGTGTTAAAATTGACAATGCGTCAACAGTACCGTTATGTCATTAGTTACTATCATACTACTGGCATATTAAAGCATTCTGTTATATTATACATTCTCTATTGTACATCTCTATTGTACACATTTCGTTTATTTCGGCAACGAAAGGCGATTATAATTTTGCTATTAATAATTGCTGGTCTAGTGAACTCTTCTTCCAGTGAACATGTTGACGAAATTAACTTAGCTAATCGAGAGATCGCGAAATTGGTCAATTTCTTAACATTGTTTCTTTTTTTTTTTTTTGGAAGGACCTTCTAATTCTCCGCCAAGGATTCGATATACTGCTTCCAAAATTAGCCAGCGTGCTTCAGCGTCTTGCAAAGTTCGCTCTTGAAAACCGTAATTTGCCCACTTTAGGCTTTACTCATCTTCAACCCGCTCAGTTAACAACAGTCGGCAAAAGGGCGACTCTATGGCTGCAGGACCTCATAATGGACGAAAGAGCGATTCGTCGCGCGAGAAATGATCTTAAATTCCGAGGTGTCAAAGGTACCACCGGTACCCAGGCATCTTTCCTTCAACTTTTTAACGGTTAGTCTACTTGGTTTTTTAATTTGCTATTATTTGCTACACGAAACGCTTTAATTTCGCTTATAAAATATAGTACACTGCATTAAATGTTTAAATATCAACAGGCGATGCTGAAAAAGTTAAACGATTGGACGTTCTTGTTACCAAAATGGCTGGTTTCGAAAAATATTACGGTGTTACCGGACAAACCTACAGTAGAAAAGTCGACATAGAGTGCTTGAACGTCCTAAGTTCACTTGGGGCGACTGTTCACAAGGTGAACTCAATTTAGCATTCTTAACATATTTTATATATTTCACTGCGTCCACAATTGTTAAAGCATAAATGCCAGAGAATCAATATCTATCTTCCTCTCCCATTGAGATTCATTGAAACTCATTCTCAAATTTCTTATCAGAAATTGTCCCATCTTGTCATTCTTTTACATAATCTCTCAAAGTTAATTAACTATTTTTCCCTTATCTTTTACGATATCTTTACTCGAAGTTGATTTTGTTTCTTCTAATTTCCATTAATTTCAGTTCTCTTTTGATTTTTTAGATTTGCTCAGACATTCGTCTTCTCGCTAACATGAAGGAAATCGAAGAGCCCTTCGAGAGTACACAAATAGGCTCCAGCGCGATGCCGTACAAGCGCAACCCCATGCGTTCTGAGAGATGCTGTAGCGTAGCACGTCACTTGATGACGTTGGTGAACAATACTCTTCAGACTGCGGCGACTCAGTGGATGGAACGAACATTAGACGATTCAGCGAATCGTCGGCTTACTCTGGCTGAAGCCTTCCTGTCAGCTGATACGATCCTAATGACTCTTCAAAATATCTCAGAGGGATTAGTTGTTTACCCAAAGGTTATTGCCAGACACGTTGCTCAAGAGCTGCCCTTCATGTCCGCAGAAAACATCATAATGGCCATGGTGAAGGCCGGTGGCGATAGACAGGTACGAGTAGCTCTTTCAATATTTACATTTATGCAGAAATCTGAAATTTCTCGCTATTGCATTTTCCCTCGCAGTGTATAGAACTTGAAACTCTTTTTTGATTTCGTTTTTACGTAGCAACTAAATTTTAGAGGACGTCATTTTTTAAATACCGAGTTTAAAGAATATACGTTACATATACGAATGCCAGACAAATGACGTTGTATGTATTATTTTTATGTTTCGGGATTCAGGTTTGTCACGAAAAAATTCGCGTATTGTCACACGAGGCCGGAGCACAAGTAAAGCAACATGGCTTGGATAATGACCTAGTTGACAGGATCAAGAAAGATCCGTATTTCGCACCGATTTTACTTCAATTGGATGCTCTGTTAGATCCTTCGACATTCGTTGGCAGAGCACCCGAGCAAGTCGTCGAGTTTCTCGAAGAGGAGGTATATCCTGTGCTTAAGAATTATAAAGGCTTGGAAAGCAGTACTGTCGAGCTCGATATTTGATCCTGAAAGAAAAGGCTTAAGGACGTTACCGAAATCTTTTCATGTCTTTTCCAAAGAAGTTTGTGTGTGATGTTAGATTGCTACTTAAAATTACAATGATAATTGGCTCTTTTAAACGGAACTCTTTGCGGAATAAAAGGATGTGCACAATTATTTGTTGTTAACGTTTCTTATATTTTAATAAAGATATTACAGAAAAATAAATCGCACTGTTCGTAGCAAATGCGCGCACGCGTTCTCCATTGTCGCTTATCGAACTGCTCCTTTTTCTTTTTTATAATTGTCTTTTTTTTGTTCTGTTTATCGCTGACTTTATGTCTTCTCTTCGACGTAACTGCTGTGATAGCGGGCAATTGTAACATGTATTATAATAAAATTTAGAAAAAGATATAAATACAGGTATATGGAATGATAGAAAGATATGTAGATAGACAGTAAATAGATAGAAAAAGGAGAACAGATGAAAATAAAGACAAAGACAAATAAATGATATAAACAAGAAGTATAGCAATAAAAGTTAAAAGTGAGAAAAGGAAAATTCATTTAAAGAAAAGAAAATGTAGATGTAGAAGAGAAAGATAAGTAGAATAGCAAAGAAATATTAAAGTTTAGTAAGAAAACGAAGGGATACGAAAAAGAAACGTAAAATAATTGTGAAATAATAAGTTGAAATAATAATGAAAACATGAGTATTTATAGAAACAATAGAGATAGATTTTGCTTAAATTTGACGAATGGGAAGCAAAGAAAAGCGTATAGAAAAGATGTAACGATGAAAAGAGGAAAGTTTAAGATATCATAGAAGAATGACTAAAAAAGATAATAAAGGTAAATGAAACAGTAACGTAAAATTAAGGAAAATAAAAGTTGGATAGAAATGATAGAATTTCTAGGAAGAATAGAAAAAATGAAAAGTAAAGGGCATAGAAAATAAGCAAAGAAAATACATGTGAGAGGTATGAGTCGAAGATTTTAGCAGAAGCAGAGAATTGATAAAGGCAACGTAGATTGGCATATTTTATCTTGAAGGAAGACATCGAAGATGATATGCTTAGAGAAAGAAGAACGAAATATGAATATAATAAAAGAATATAATAAAAGAGCTAATAGTAGAAATAGCAAAAGGGAGAAATGAGAAAGACCAATAAAAATTAGAAATGTAAGTAATCGGAAGAAATGTGAAAATAAGAATATATAGAGTTTCGAGCGGAAAAAATTGGTTTTTAATTAATTGTGTTAAGTTGATTGCGCCACCGTAATGAAGAAAAGAAAGAGATAAGAAAAATATTGAATAAAATGAAATGATAAAGCGGGAAGTTAATGCAAACAAAAATTCAAAGGAACGAGAAAGGAATGCAAAGCGAAAGATGGAGACTGAGAGAAAAATCATGCTAGCTTATAAAACTTGTTGAAGTTTTTCTTACAAATTGATAATATCGAGTACCGTATAAATGGTACATGATTGACACGATTTAACGTGCGACACTGCGAAACGAGTTAAACATTTATTTTATCTACCGAGAAAAATTAATTAATCGATAAAATAAAATCTCAAGTGAACAAATGACCGTGGAAAGAAAAATAGCTATCACAGAACGTTAGATGCGTTGAGAAGTTTTAGTACTACGAATTAGGAACTCTGATTTCTTCAGCATATAAGAAAGAGCCTTTGAGCAACAATGAAATGTATCTTAGACATTTGTCTCAACAATATTTTTGGATTTTATAAAGGGATTTCCATCTTTCTTTTCATGTTTCTCACTTGTTTTTTGAACAGCTAATAATTCGACGTAATTTTGCTACCATATCTTTAAAAATTCAAATACTTGTAAGATTACAAATCTTTATAATCAATCCGTGAAATTCCAAATTTTAATTCGTTTTTATTTTATATGTATATAATATATTTTTTTTCGTCGTATTATTAATACAAGAAAGAACACTTTTAAAACTAGAGATGGAAATCTCCGAAATTTAGTTGAATATTCCAATTGTTATTCAGTTTCAGTTGGTAACATTTTAATTTTGCCCTTCCAATAACGACGCCGAAATCGTTGAAGGCTCTCGTCCATTAGATCAGCCTATCTTTTATAAACGCGGTGACCAGTGAAGGTAGCTCCATCAGTTATTTTTCCGGATTCAACATAAACGGCAAGCTGATCACCGGCTTCGACGTCTAATAGAACAAGATTGCTTCCTCCGCCTGGACCGACACTGACAATCGGTCTCCAGCTGTCGGATTGGTTCAATTTACGTTTCAGCGTCAGCCGTAGGTCCGTGCTACCGTATCCGGCGAAACTGAATTGGTAGAGACCTGGACAATGCGTGGTGAAGATCCCTGTCTGAGCGGCGTAACCGACTCCTTTATCCACTAAAGTCTCGGATAGGACGAGTTTAGCTTCCTGTACAATTAGATGTTTCTAGTATATTCATCTCCACGTGTATAAATAATTCCGAAATGTAAGTTTACTTTAGTTAGAAATTATGAGCGGAACATGTTAATTTTGACTCTTTATTGCATCAACCAGATTTATCATCAAAATAATTGACGAGTCGTTTCATTCTGTGAATCAGTTGAGATAATTCGTCATCAATTGTTGACGACTGAAGAAATCGTTCTGCAAATTTTCTTCGTTACAATTGACTAAAATTTTAAGACTTTAAATTATTGATTGTAGCATCTACTTACAACTACCGAGCCTTGGGTGGCAGAAAAGGCGACTAGTCCGGCACAATCAGCAGCAGTCGCCAGTTTCTTGGAGCCAATTGTAGTAATGCCGGGATTTTCCGGTGGATCTGGTACCGCTGCATCGGTCAACGTGGCCGCTGCCAATATCAGCATCGCCCACACCACCCTGCGTTCGTGAAAAAAAGTAAGTCTTCATTAGTCGGCTTGAATTTCCACACATCTGAGTGCGTAATAAAAAGCTCGCACTTTATAACTCCAGCAATTTTCATTTTAAAATATTTTTATAAAAATTACGAAAGAATATAAACAATAATATAAAATAAAATAAAAACACGCTACAGTTAAGTATTTGAAAAAAAAATAAAATTCGACTTGAAATTAAGTAAATTAAATAATGTGATGACAATAAAATTTTTATATTTTTTATTAACAATAGCTGCAGTTTGGTTTGTTCAAGCTTTTAAAACGAAGTTGTATTCATAGATATACTCGGAACGAGGAAAATCCAACATGCACTATGCAGAAAATTAATATTTGAAATTAGCATAATAGTCTGAGGCGTAAATGCAGCCGAGTTGACGTTCACAACTCGTTCTTGCGTAACGTGTCACGTGGGTGTGTAAGAAATTTTTTTGCGCTCGTATCGCGCTCGCTTCTTTTTGCTCTCCGCTGACTTTAATCGCTAATGCGACTATCCCGGTAAAGTTCAGCTGGTTCGAGATACTTTCACTGCTCGCGGCTGTACCACCTGGCCGAGCCTACAGGCTCTCGTCTTTCACCTCCCCCTTTCGGCCCTTCATAAAATCATCGCAAACCTTTCATCTTTCATTTTTTTCGTAACGCTCTCTCCTTTCTACTGATATTATTCAAGAAGATGGTTATTAGCAACGTTTAAACGCACGTTTAAACGCACGTTTAAACAAGTACATGTTAACACAAAGGATTTCAAATGATGCTTCTAGAATTTCTTTCACTTATATCTATTTTAATCGTCGTATTATTACATATGACATTGGACAAAAATTTATCTTGTAAAGTATTTTGATAATTAGAAATATATATAATAAATCGTATTTTGGAAATACAATTTCTGCGATGAATTCCTATAATATTTGATCTTTTAATGTAAATATCTCTCCACGGATTACTTTTTGGGACATTATATTAAAACATAATGATATAATTATTTTTTATTCTCTTTCTTGTATGTTATCTATATCTAGGAATTGAATTCGCATCTTTTAAAGAGTCCACAAATGTAGCGGCGATGAAATAATTCCAATGCAACTTCGAATATTAGAGTATACAATTTATTCAAGACACGGGACGCAATTAAACTTTCGCCACTAGAGAAAAGCAGAATGCTTCGATGGGATACGCTCGATTAAAGCTAAAAGTCTAATTGCTAATTATTAGAGCGTAGTCTACTGCGCAGTCACTTCTTGAACTCGTTTCTTAAACATAAACTATATAGAGTTATGACGGAAAGTTCTAAAATATAAATATTATTAACGTAATCGCACTCGACTTGTCAGCAATCTATTTATTTTTCTACTTTGCTAGGTTTATAACGTACTGAGAAAAGAACTTAGAATTTTAAGAATAGTAGATTACTGTTGCATCAATCAATTAGTAGCAACCGGAATCGCGATAAAATCAGCTGCAAGGTCAAGGATTTTTGCATTTTTACGATTGCACTTTTGCGTAGTATTACGCAAGTCGTTTAACATACTGTTTCTGCAAGCCTCACTTTAAGTATATTTTTATGAAAGTAAAAATCGCGCCAATTGAGTAAAATCCATGTAAATTTCTCACATAAATAAATTATCACGCGAATAAATTAGAGAATACAGAAATAAATTATGCATAAAAGTAAGTAAGTAAAATAAATTAATAAATATATTCAAACAAATGTATTATACAATGTCAATTCTATCGAAAGACAGAAAGGAGACGTCACGAGCGAGTTGAAATTAAATACGATGCGCTGAACAACATTGAAATAATCGACTGTTAATTGTATAACAAAAAGGAACTTACATGATGGTAAAAAGTGGTGTGGCAGCGACGGGCTTCCCGCTGTCAGGCTGTTCCTTCCGTGTTATAGTCAAGTCAGATCAAGCCGGAGCCCTCGTGCGCCTTTATATCACCTTCTAGTCCGGACTAGTGAATCGCACGCCAGCACCAGCTTTTTCTTTCATTTTGCATCTCGCTCCATTCGCGGTGAGTGCTCTCTTTCTCGCTGATTGGTGACTGCAACTCCCCACCAGTTGACGATTGGCAAGTTTGCCGGCTAGGTAGTGACAGAATGACAGCTTTCCACCCCTCCAGCATCGCGAAGAAAGCCAATTTCGAGAATAATCAAGAGAGTGCTCACGTTCTTTCAGATACGAACATTTAAATATAAAAACATAATTGATGAATTTCGAAGGTATAAGTAAATGTATAAAGATACTTCATATCTCCGCTTTTCGAAAAGTTCCTTCGAAATTGTGATATTTTTTTCTTTCTTTTTCTTTTTTTAATGGGGCAGGAGTCAGCATATTAACAAACAGACGCTTTGAAAGTTTCGCTGGTCGCGCGAATTTATTCCTCATTAAAATCACCAGCAGTATGTGATTAACTGCTCGACAGATGGCACGTTAATTGAAGCTCTGTCAAAGTCGCAGGAAGGAATACTATTGATGATCTAGCTCTTCTTAACGCAAGAAACGAATAAATAATACTTTTCGGGAACACGGAGGGAAAGATCGGGACGGAAAACCAATGGAAGCATATAGTATGTAGAATCGAGTAATTATTTCAAGAGGATACCAGGAAGTTGTGTTGATACCCGGAAAGAAAAGCGCACGCAATCAGGAAGAATATCAATGATGCAAAACACATTATCGACATTGTTATGCCAAACGGAACAGCGAAAGGTGGCGTACACGGATTCTTGCGATAGAAAACACTCGTCACGTATGTATCGCAGATTTTAATTTCAAATTGTGATTTGAAATTATATGAATAATAGATTCTGTTACTTATTCATATCTTGAAAATTTGATTTTTCACGATGATACCGATGATTTAAAAAAGAAATATAAATTTCAACAGCTCGGCAGCTACAAATGCGCGATGCCTCGAAATTCTTTCAATGTTATTGACTTCATTTTCATGTATTACTGATAATTATATAATTGTGACTCGCATATCGATATAAAACGATGATTTTAGACAGTTTATTCAATATTTACATTAATTTGGAACGTAGAAGTACAAATTATATACATTGTAGCCGATGACTTTTCGCGATTTGGATCGACGAGCACGGACTACTTTCACTTTGACGACGCTTTCCCGCAGCCAGTATCTCGATCGCCTTGAATTTAGCCTCCTCCTTTTGTCTCAACCTATCTATCCACGACTCCGCTCTCCGGCGTTAAGAGATTCACTCGGACGCGATATTTATCGAAGCCATTCAATGCAAACGTTTAGGAATCTAGGTGTCTATGAGCTCGAAACAAAATAATCAATCAATCCGAGGCCGAGAGACCAACCTGTGAAAGCAGCAATCATTCATTGTTCAATGACTTGTTGCTCGCATACATACAGACTCGCAACATTTCATCACTCGAGTGATGAATGGATCCTTCCAAATTGATTAAATGATACAAAGATTAACTCGAACACTTACAACTTTTTAAACATTAAATCTTCTTATTTATTATGTACATAGAAAAAGTGGGAAAGCGTTCCCTGGGACTGTAGAAAAGTCACCGAGATATTGGCCGCGCAATAGTGTCCAATAATGGAACTTACACTAACAGATTATCAGCCTGGCAAGCTGGGCCCTTGCTCGGCCAATTGCAAGCGCCAGCGTGTGAGTCGAATGTCAGATGAATCGGACAATTGAAAATGTGAAGCGTGAACTTCTTCTTCCACTGATCCCAGTAACAAGCGTAAAATTTGTTGCAGAGATTAGGATGTCTGAAGAGGCCTGGTCTGGCGCAGTCAGTGGCACCATCGATGACTTGGTCGGGATCGTCTTCTTGGTCGGAAATGATCGCGTTTGGTGATGGAGCAATCTCCAATTTTTTGCCGACTCGAAGGCCACCTCGGAATCTATCAGGTTCGCCCAAAACATCATTTTTCGGGAATGCTCCGTTGTGAATATTTGTCGCAGGAGTGAAGCCTCTCACGTTAATTGCTGAAGACACAGGCAAATAAGAGGATGATGGTAAATTGGACGTCAGCGTCGAGACGCTCGTTGTTTCATGTGGACTAATCTTGTAGGGCTGTGGTGAATGGTCATCATAATTGGTAACGTAGTCGCCCTCTTCAGAAGAGTCGTCGTTCTCAAGATCGACGTAGATGTCGGACTCATCATAATTAGCCAGATCCACCTTGCCTCTAGAAGAAGCTATCAACTTTTTCTTCCCCGGGCCGCGAAGATTAGCGAAAGGATCAGCCTTGCATGTGCAGTCTGCTCCGAGCTTACCGAGAAGAAGTGGATGAAGATCGCTCCACTTGACGATGACTTTGCCCTTACCTTCAGCAGATTTCGTGGTAACCTCATAAGAAGCTGTGGGACCTGATGTGACAGCGAAAGTACTGCCGGTCCTTGTGGACGACGACGAGAACTTCTTGCTTGACGTTAAATCAAATCCTGAGCTTGTAGAGCCGTCGTACGCGCTTGGTGTGTATTTAATAGTGCCTCTGTAGTTGGTAATTAGTTTGTCGATCTCATCTCTTGAGATATCCAGATTTGTTGGTGAACCGCCGCCAACAGTCGTTCCTGAAGAAGACGGGGTCGAAAATTCTTGGCCAGGATAGTACGTGTCAGTGGGTCTGAACGTAGTCGGAGATATGACGGAAGATGGACTCTTGTATGTAACGCCGTAGCTTGGCGAAGGTTTCTTGTAAGTTACCCCTACGAATTCTGGTCGTCTAGTTACCGGTACGTCGTAGTTCACGGTAGATGCAATTAAACCAGGTTTGCTTGGCTTTCCAGGAAGATATTCTAAGACCGGAGACGGTGAAGTAAAGGCACTGTAGTCTTTTGGACTTGACTCGGTCCGTGGATGGAAAGGCACCCCTGGACCGAAACTAGATGTAGATACTCCTCCAGTTTGGAAACCACCGGTTCGTTGGGTAAACCTGTCTTCAGTCAATATCGATACCGGAATATTGGTAGGGGCAATCATCGTCTTGTAACCAGTATCGATGATGGGTCTGGCAGTGAAAACTCCTGGGATCTTAGCTGCTTCAAACATGGTCGTTTTGTAAGTCTCGGGTTGTTTGGTAGTGTAAATTATCGGTGTGACTGTTGGTGTTAATAAGCCGCTCGATACAGTAGGTATCTTCGATCCAAACGCACTAGTTCTATCAGGCAATTTATTATGCAGTTCGACGCTCAAGAATGGTATTGGTGTTGTAACTGGCAGATTACCTTTGGTCGATAAAATAGGTGATACGGAAGAAGTACCGCCAGTTTCAAATTTTACGGATGGCTTAGGATACGAATATCCGGAAGTAGCTGATGGTGAAGTGACGCGACCACCCGGTACAAATGTCGAGGGATAGACAGGCGGAGTAAAGGTGGAAGATAAGCCGCCGATGGGTGATGTCTTGGAATAATCGTCAACATTTCCTTCGAATGCTTTCTCGCCGATATTTTCGGGATGCAAAATAGGTCGACGTTCGCTTGTGCTTACTGAGTAGCTACCACCACCGCCTAAAATGGCAGTGGTTATACCTGTTTTAGTTGGACCAGTTTTTGTGAATCCGCTTGGCGTGAAGACCGATGGTTTGATTGAGGCATATCCTGGAGCAACAGTGCTCGAGTCATGGATTCCGAATGAAGTAGAGTGCAGCACAACACCTCCGGTGCTCTCTATCTTGCCTCCAGATACGATAGAATCAGGAAGCGTGGCACTGGTTGGTCTATAGTCTGGAAGATCATTTTCTGGATATTTGCCGATATCGTAAGGAGCGTTAAACGTGACGGTAGCGCGCCCTGCGTCAGGTTTATAATCATGAGCACTTGGAGGCGTTGATCCTCCAGTTAAAGTGCCGCTTAAATAACTCGATCCTCTTGTTGAAGCACTGCCGCCTTGATAACTTATGCCCGTCTGTGAGATATACGGTTTTCCGGTTGCACTTACGATAGTTCCTGGCTGAGTGGAACCTCCTAGAGATACTCCAAAAGCAGTTTGTCCGGAAACAGCGACATTCGGAGTGATGTCACCTTTCAGAGCGACACCGGGAATCGAAGGGCTGGTCAGTGAAATTCCAGGTGATGATGTTCCGTATATTACCGTTCCATCACTAGCCGATCCAACGTCAACTTTCTTCACTCCGTCCGTGATTACATATCCTGGTGTTCCAGAAGAAGTAGTTACATAGCCAGGTCGAGCTCCTCCAGTCAAAATAGTACCTTGGTCACTGATACCAGTTGATATTGCTCCAGGAATGTCTCCGTGACCAAGTATGGTTCCTGACAAAGAGTCACCGGTAACAATACCTCCCTCTACGCTACCTCCGGTCAGAATTGCACCAGTAGTGCCTGCGTGGACGTTATAGCCAGTAGGAATTCTAGTATTGAAAATGCTAACATTCAAATGAGGTCTCGCTAAGTCCGGTTGCGTGTAGCCACCTGTTACTCTAACTCCATATGTCTCAGTTGTTTCGCTATGGTCTCTGACTCCGTATGTCTCACCTGTTGCGCCATAAGGCCCAACTCCAGTTCTCGTTGTTCCAATCGAAGGATAGATCGGTTCCACTGGTTGTATGAATACAGGAACTGTATACCCATCCTCACTATTGTATCTTACACCTGAAGAAGTACCTGTTGCTCCAGAAAATTGCGTACTACCTCTTATTAAATGGTCACTATCAGCAGCCGTAACACCAGGACGTTCGGAAATGAAAGAAGGCACAACTTCTGGTTTTGAGACACCGCTAACAAAATTAGTTCCTGTGACACGTCCTGTCGTCGAGTGCAAACTTGAATCTATTCCAGAACTGCTCGGTAAATTCACACCAATTTCAACAGAACCGACGTCGGTCTGATCAGTGGTTTTCGAATATGCTGTAGCAGACGAATCCCGATATACTTCTGTACTTGATCCTGTATATCCTCTGTTAATTGATCCAGTGATATCGACACCGCTGGTAGCTTCAGGATAAGAGGTCTTGGGTACTGATCCATATAATCCTTCTATACTGGACGATGGTTGACCTCTAGTTGCTCCTGAATAGACATTGGTAGAAGCTGAGTAACCATCGACGTTAAATATATTCGATCCTGTGTATAGACTTGTTGATCCATCATGTTTAGGTCCATTAAGGTCTGCACGAATGCCTGTGGACGGTCCAAACGCCTCTGTGGAGCCGAAATAGCTCGTTTCCGGCTTAGAATAACTTACTCCCGCTACCGGATGACTGCCACTGACGCCTCCAGTATGTACACCTAACGTAGAAGAATAACCAACTCCAGGTGTTCCTGAGTAAGTCACACCTTGCCCTGTTAAATGGTCTCTACCAAAGGTTCCCGAATATCCTCCCACTGTGGATCCAGAAATACCTGTAGCAATACCGCTCGATTCAGTTTTTGCATATCCACTGCTATATTTAGTATATCCAACTCCTCCACTGGACATTGTATGCCCAGTACTGCCAATTCCACTACTTGCTGTGGGGTATCCTGCGCTGCCCCCAACGCTTATACCAGGAGATACTGAAGCAACGTGTATGCCGGGTGATCCAGAATACGATGAAACAGGTACTGATCCTCCGTATTGTCCAGTTGATCCAGAATAACCAACCGCAAATGGGCTAGATGATCCGTGTCCAGAAATCCTTCCATCGTCAGAAGTTGAAATACTAGCATGTTCACCGACGTGTCCTGTGGTGAATCCAAAGTAACTCGGCCCGCTGGTTCCATGGATACCAGCACCGGCTGTTTTAGAATAATCCGCGCCGGAATAACCCATTCCAGTTGTGGAGTATCTAGGTATACTACCGGTAACGTAACCTCCAGTACCGAGTCCAGCCGAGGTCTCCATAGAGTATCCCCTGTAATCGTACTCTGTTCTGGTATAAGCTGATCCGGATTCTGAGCAAGCTGGCACCAGCCAGGGCCACTCGCACACCAATTTTTGCTCGTCGAACACCAAGCCGTATGGACAACGGAACTCGAACGCCATTATTTCCGGTCCACCTGTCGGCACGATTTGTATGTAAATCAAGATCCTTTCGCAACCAACATAAAAATATCGTACAACAAATAAAAAAGAGGATAATGCGTATGGCATATTATAGAATTATTTTCTTTTAGTTGAGGAATTTTGGAAATCGTACTTATTGGGTTGGTACATCAGTAAATCGTAACTTACCCAAGTCCATGCAAGCAAAGAACCAACGACAGTTCTGTGGATCTGCATAATAGCCGGATCGAGATGGGCATTCGAATCTTTTCGGTGCTACAGGAGCAATTTCGCTGCTACCAGGACACGGTGAACCTTGTGGCAAAGAGCCTGGCCAAACGCAAACTTCCGTACGCTCGTCGAACGATAGGCCAGCTGGGCAATCGAATTCAAAGACCGAATAATTTTCAATCTCTTGATTAAATTTAACGCAGCGATAAAATCTGTGGGAAAGGCGATATACATATTTATTACGCACATGCCAGAGATTGTTTAAAATCCGATCTCTCGATTCGATTTAATCCACTATTATGTCATTACCTGTTGCAACTCTTGGGATGCACGAAGTAACCCTGTCGCCTGCAAACGAATTCTGTTTGCGTGTTTTCACGTACAGCTCTGATGTGTCCCTCAGTATCTACTATGCGAACCACTCGGAAGTTGGACGTTTTCGCTTGATTCGGGTACGAAAACTGAGCTTGCTGAAATAATAGATTATCTTAGAAGGTATAACAAGCAGAGTAGTATATTGCTCGTAGGTGTGAAGTTAAGTGAAAAAAGAAATATACATGAAGCTCGTCTTCCAGCGCGTTGAGCACGGCATATCTCGATTTCCTCTTGAATTCCGTGAAGGACTGGTAAATTTCGTGCGTAATTGGTTTCTCGCACTCGGTCTTCATGTCGCTTTCTATGTTTCGCACCGCCAATCCCGCCAGGTCGCGCAGAAACGCATATTTCCCCTGAAATCAAGTATAAACTAAGAAGACGGTTTTTCCCTTAACCTTACGAGAAACCTTTCAGATAGATCTTAACCTTATAGAGATTAACACGAATAAAGACAAATTAAACGAAATACGAATTATTTAATATCTTTCGGAATTATTTAATATCCTCAACGGAAAATCCTTTGTCTATAGCACTTAACCGAAGAGTCCGCATACACACCTTTATTCCAACTGAAATCTTATCTTCAAAGGAGATCCACGTCTTGTTTCGAAATGCGTACGGTGCCGTGAGATCCTCATCTCGTTCCACGGTCCATTCTCCGCTAGTTATAGCTTCGCAGAGCTACGATACCAAACGAGTTGGTTTGAGAATACAATCGTTAGCGTACATTGGCTCCTCTTAACCACCAATTACTCTTCAAGGTGTAAGAAAACGGTACGTTGAACAAATGCCATATCGTACCTGTTTGCGATCAATCGGACTAGGTTCTTTTTCGGTAGTTTCTGATCTAGGAACGTTTTCAGACTCGTCCTTCAAAGTAAATTTATACGCGTTAGCCGGCAAGGACACTAAGATCTTTCGTTTCGGAGCTCCTAGTCCGATTATCAAGTCTACTAAGCTGTCCGTGTTCAGTATATCGAAGAGTCCCATTAGACGCGAGGGATGGAAGGTAACAAAGGTACTATCTTCGTCCGTCAAGTAGTCCGTTGGCAGCGTAAATAGATCAACGTACCTGATGAAGAAGACAGTAAGAAGCAAAACATGCATGCAGTTCAATAAGAAACTCACTCGAGAAAATTCGAGAGATTCATCGCTCGACTGCTGAAAATCTTTGCTATACGTTTAGTCAACTCGAGCGAGTAATCTTATGTCGTTTTACTTGAGAAAAGGGGAGTCTTACTTGGCGAGTTCCTTGAGATCGAATTGCTTGCCGAGATCCTCGGATTTGCTGGGTAAGGTCATGAAAATCCTTTTATCGTAGGACTTTCTGATCATTTCATCTTTCAGACTTTTGACGAAATTATAAAGACGCTCCTTAGAACCAGCCGTCACATTCAACTCCACGCCGTCCACCTTGAGAAGAAACGGAAAGTTCTCTCATAGTAACTCGTCATTTTTCTAACTCGTCGAATTATGGCAGAGGAGAAAATCTTGTTCTGCAAGAGTTAAACAACAGCAAGCACTATACCTCTTTCATGACAGCAATGATTCGAGCGATCGCTTCTTGCCGTAACATGGCGGAAGTTTTAAACGTTTTCTCAGCGTCATTGATAGAAATTACAAATTGAAGAGGCGGATGCATCTCTCTCAAGGACTCCCGTAAATCGACGATATCTGAAACCACATTACTTACTCGTCGCTTGTTCCATGTAATTGTCTCAATTAATCCAATATGGTTGCTACATAGGGATAAATTAGTGTAAGTCTGAATAAATGTAAATCAGATGCGTGAGATAAAAGTTTTTCAGGTCATTAATTACAAATTTCATGTCAGATTTACAAAATTCATTCAAGAGTAATTTGTTTATAAGAAGAATCTAGCGTGGGAAAAATTTTGGAAAAAAAAATATATTATGTTTCGACATGTGAGGAATATTCAATAAAATTTTCAGCCTCTAATCTTAAGTAGTAATTTTCAAGTTCAATTCTTTTTCAAATATTCAACTTTCAAGTACTTTCCAATTTGTAAATTTCTTTTTAAAAATCGCCTTTTCAACCTTATTTGTTTACATATAATAATAAATATATAATAATACATTTCAATGATATATAATATATAATATAATAGTAAATATATAATAATAATAATAATTAAAAATAAACAATCGGACAAGTAAAAACCGTGGGAATCGTGTAAAGTAAGTATTAATGTATCAGAAAAATGTGAGATTATACTTATTTTTATTAAACTTTCAATAAACACTTCACTTTCAGTAAACGGTATCTCATAGAAATGAAAGAGGAAAGTGTGGCAAATATACTTACCACTGCCACACAAAGGGGGGTTTATCTATATCTTTAGGATTCGCAATGATCGCAAAGTTGACGCTATGCTTTCTCGTCGAGGTATTTGCAGCTTACCGGAAATTGAGAGATTCCGCACGTCATGATTCTGATGCACCAAAGTGGTGCAGCTGCACACGGAGTCGGCGAGCAGCTGTGCGTCGAAAGTGGAAGTATAGCAGAGAATTTCTCGGACGGGCGAGGTTTTCCTCTTCGGGCATTCTGCAACAGATTAGAACGTGTACTCGATTTCGCGCATTGCGCGCGAGAAGCGCATGCCGACGGGGAGAAGAAGAAGATATGTCCATAGTGGGAGTTTCAACGGTTGACATCATCGACCGGTCACTCAGTGCGTTATATGCGATTGTTGCTATAATAGTCGTTTGCATAGTCGCGCAAACTTGCTGTTCACTTTCCATAAAAGAAAGAACCGCGCTGCGGATGATTCGCGGGAGATTCAGCTGCGGTTTATACGAGGCTTATTAATAATCAGCGGTCCCGGATACATTGAACGCGATAGTAACTTTGTGCAATTATTGCGCGCGCGCGCGCGCTAACGATTGAGCCTAACATTGCGTAAAATTGCTTACGGCTTCTGTTGTACATAAATACTACAAATGTCATTCAGGGAAATATCGCTAGGCATTAAGTCACATGGAGGAGAGGAAACACGTGTTATTGGATAATAATAATAAAAGTGAAAGTTTGCATTTCTCTGTTTTAAGGTATGTGAAATCAAAATTATTATCATTATTTAATATTTACGTTACAGCGATATGCTGTACAGTAAACAAATAAGAGCAAGGACACTTGTTTAATCTTGTTTGGTTTTAGTTCCTTTTTTGTTGAGACGTCAAATAAATACGGGAATGCCCAGAATTGTAAAACGAAATTTCTGGGCTATATCGTCATCTATTCTCCGACACTTCAAGAGCTATCAAAGGTGTGCGATTGCGAGCGTTCGATGATGTAAATGGTATTGTCCTTGTGAGGATGATCGCGCATGGCGTAACTCAACCTTAAAGGACGCGCGGCGTATCCGATACGCAAGTATAACGCAACAGACAGATGATCTCTTTTTGCGTTACACGCTGATGCATAAAGAGAGAGAGAGAGAGAGAGAGAGAGAGAGAGAGAGAGATGCAGAAAGAGAGCCACGCTATTTAACCCTCCGATGTGCATTTCAATTTTTTAGCTTTTCACCTTGTCTTAAAGGAGACGAGGAGTTAAATGCGACACAATTTAAAACCTATTTATATATGAGAGATATCCCGATTGCTGAAATATACGTTTTTTTATTTTGTACAATTCAATCTGCAGCGGGTCTTTACTCGACAAAAATGTCTCACGACCTCTTGGCGTTACGTATAATTGTAAACAAAGAATATTTTGCAAATAAAGCGAAGAGACCAATAGATCACAAATTATTCCTCGCGCAAATAAAATTTTACTAATTTTATTAATTAATTAAATGAGATTTTATTTCTAAACTAAATAGTGAACAACTCAACATTGAATTTTATTTTATTGTCAAAACGGAAAGATATGTAAGACATTTTGAATTTACATGTAAATATATATAAATAAGTTGTAAAATGTATGTGCAGCTACTAATAGTGTAAGTAATCCCAAGAAATGCACAGAATATATCAGATTAATCGCAAGTTATACCAGCAAATTAATCACGGGGACTGTTTAGGTGTGTTTTCATCAACTTCACACTGCGAAAGAGCAGAGTCGCTTAAACCAATCACACTTACTTGTCGTGGATCCGAGCGCGATGAGCGCGAACGACACTAGGAGGACCCCGCGAGCCCACATTGCGATTTCCACGCGATCGAGCACCGAAATCGCGACAGGTCGCCGGTGGATGCTGAACAGGCAGGGAAATCACACACGGTCGAGCCTATCAGCCTAGTCTCATCGAGATCCTGGCGCGAGGGTCGAGCAGGTCCTGTCTTTCTCGTCTCTCTGTCGAGCGGAGGATCCAAGGATCCTTTGAGTCTGAGCGCGCGTTTTGTACTGAACCTTCGGAGGACGCGTGCTCTCTTAGTAAAGCTTACCACCTCGACCGGATGGCAGCAAGGACCAAAGTTCGAAAGGGAAGGCACCGAGAGAACGAGCCGAGGAGAAGCGAGAAAAGAGGGAGCGGAGGCCACCGGGAACGATGGATCGCTGAATCACGGGTGGGGTACCTGGACTGTCCCAGATCGGGACACTTTCCGCGTTACGCGCGTGATGCACGGCACGAAACGAGCCGACGCATGCTTGCAAGCGTGCGGGTCTTTCTCTCGACGGACGACTTGCCGCCAGCGGTTCGACGTTAGGCAGAACACGTTAGATGTTTTTATTATTTTTCTTTTTTTTTTTGTTTTTCAGCCAGGTGTGGCACTTGATCAGCCACACTTTTTCTGTACAAGTCCGTCCCTTCGTAACCGAACGTCTCGATCTTGCCGGCAGACGAGTCTTCACGGCTTAACAATGTCGGGTGATCTTGCTCACGACGAGCTTGCGACTGTCAGGAACGCTCGCTACGATCGTTCGATTCGAACTACCACCGCCGCCGGCAGCTTGGCTTCGTTCTTCCGATGTAACGCGAGTCTATTTGTCCGTGCATATTTATCCGATGTGGTATCCGCGTTGCTGTATTGATCACCGACGTATGCAAATCGATTGGTGAATCCGTCTTCAACGCAGGCGATTGCGTCACCGAGTCTCCTGTACGCTGTTGTCAGAAACAGGTGGACTCGGCGTTTGTTTCGCGTTCCTGTGTTGCCAGCACTGATTGAATGAAACTTCGTTAAACTTTTTGGCGACTTTTGTCAGAGGGAGAATAGAGATTGTACCATGCAGGCTTTTGTTTACCGAATTCTTATCGCATTGGTGGAAGAGATCTCGCAAAAAATTTGGAAATAAAATTTTTTACGTTAATAATATAAAAATTATGTATAAAAACATTTACATTGATGCGTTATATATAAAATCAATGTGTAAAAATATTTATATTAGTAATATAAGAAATCCTCTGGAATTTAATGTAACACTCTTCATCTCTGATGAAACCCTCATTGATATCGATCTTCACCACCGTCGTTCGATCGTGAGAAACTTGCGGTAAAGGCGACCGATTCCGAAATTGTACGATCCTTTCTCAATGAAGTTCGCAAGACTTATAGTCTGATAAACGTCTGGCAAACGAGCGGACGTCGAATGGACCGCCGAATGAACCAACGACGATCTCGATCATCCGCGGCTGTGCCTGGTTACAGCTGTTTCTGAGCTCATTGCGTCATTTTTGTCAGTGAACGAAACGGTGTTACAATGACGATAATAAATTACTTTAATTCGAGCTACACAAGCAGCTCGGTGCCGCAGCGCGCTTCTATTTCAACGCTTTCGCTGATATCTAATTTATTGATCGCATCCTTTATTATTTTTATCTCCGCGATTCGAGATATTCGCGTTAATCCGTCTGGAATAATTTGCGGCGTTATCAACGATTAAGCAGTTTACATAATCGACACTAGCGCACGCACGCACGAGCTACCTCGTGCATGGTCTCTCGTGTAATCGTTCAAGGAATCATCCACTCATTTATTCGTCACGAGTCATCGAACGAATCGATTATTCTCTCTCTAAAGATCCATTTAACCTTTTAGGTACAGCACAGGAAGGCGAGACAACAGCTACCGGCGAGCAATTTGCACCGAATTTACAATTGAGAGAATACGGATGCTATTCTCCCTTTCTTTCTCTCGCTTTGGTGCGAAATTGTGTATACAAATACAAAATAAACCGATTATAAATTTAAAAAGTTCAACGTTATGTCCATGAGTAAAACTTTCTCTGTCATCGCGGATATAAATGATCTCAAAAAAGAAATCGTTTAAAGCGAAAAGATAACTTCTTCTACGACTGTGATGTTGATGACCGTTTCTGTCAATTTTGATTTTAACCTAACCTCGATTTAGTGAAACTTCGGTTAAAATTAACTCTCAATTTAATATTGACTTATTTCTATATATACGAACACTTGGCTAAATTTACAACCTATATGATGTAACTCAAGTACAGAAATGTAGAACGTTGATTGGTCCAATGCGATTGTCTTGAGAATAGTGATATAGGTTAGGTATCGTATCTTCCGCAAGTGGCTTTTTAATATCGAAATTGTTTCGACCAAAAAATGAACTGAGAACAATCGAGTACGCAACGAAAACATTCCCAAAATTTCTCAGGAATGGAGAAACTAATTTTAACGCGGACTTGGCATTAAAATATAAAAATGTAAAATATAAAATATGAAAAAAAAAAACAAAGAATAAAAAGACCGACGGAATAATCTCTAAAGACAGTAAAATTGACTCTAAGGATATTCCGACTATCCTGAAATATTTGTCACTCTACTGTATCAACTTATTGCATAACAGATACAGGTTGTACAATTTGTCAAACGAGCTAGTTATATTTTTTAATTGCAGTTTAACAGTACTAAACGGTCAATACTGGTCGTTTAAATTAAATTTGCTTGATTTACGTACGTGTAAACGCGAGTTATATTACAGACAGAGAGCAATATTTAGGTTGACTCTTCTTAGCCGGATGTTATTAGCGATAAAATTTTTCAACGTCATTGATAGAAACGGGCGTGAGTCAGATCAAATCGCCGTGACGCGCGAAGAACGCCGAAGCGCGACAATAAGCGAGCGCACTTCGTTAAATCCGGCGCTCCGGGCGATCTGGTGCAACTGCAACCGCTCACGCATTCTCTACAGCGCGTGGACCGACGATGAGGGAAAGGGACCTTTTAGAAAATTACAGCACACATACGTGAAAAAGGCAGCAGCCGCACTTGAAAAGGAAACCGTCGCCTCATAGTGGGCGTACGGATGCCTTTTGCAAAGAGCGACTAACGTGTTGACAGAATTTGCGCGTGACGCACGTATTACGTTGTTGTTTAGATAGATGTAGGTTAGATCGGGTTAGCCCGTCGTGTGTGTGACATGAAAATTCATTCGCCGTCGTCCCTCGCGGACGAGTTCTCTCTTATCGGTCTTCCCATCGTTACCCATCGAATCCGAAGGACCGGGTCGGAACAATCGAGTCACACGACTCGTGCGAAATACATAACCTCGTAAAATGTGGACGCGCCGAGAGGCCTTCGAGGTACCCACCGAGCGACAAACGCCGAATTTGTTCTGGGAAAGAAGATAGATGCAAAGTATACGCAAGGTCGTACACTTACTCAAATAACCGTCATTAAAAGAACATCACAGGTGACGGGAAAGACGATACTTATTTCTATTTTGGTTGCTAGGAAGAGATATGCGCATACTTGAGCGCTTTGAATGTTTCACGAAGGAAAATGATAAATGTGCGCAGCAAGGAAGTATAATTTCTACGTCGGAAATCCGATTACCCTTTCGTTCGAGAAAATCCTTGCTCGACTTGTAGCAGGAAAGGGATAAAGTTTGTGTCGTATATTATTCACTGCAGGGCACACTCTGCATATTCTTCTCACCCTGCATATCCAAGGATATGAAAGCCTGCGCTATTAAATTAGGCTAGGAGGTGAGCGCACGTGGCATTTAAGTTATAAATACATAATAATTATCTGCGAGAGGACAGAAATGACCGGGAACGCGTATTTTATGGTTGGCAATATGTCTTTGCCTCCTTTTACGTAAGTAGCTTTATGGCGGCTTTGGCGAAGCCTGCGGGTATAACCGCGGGCGTGGTTCTTTTGTCGAGGCTAGTTGCCGTTATCGAGAGACCGTTGAATCGATCGATTTGCAAGTATGCAGGACGGTGCTGTGAAGTCCTCGTGAGAACAATCCGGCAATACTCCTTTGTTGGAAAAATCGGCCGAAGCGACAACGCGTTGCGCAAACGCGATTTATAATCGACATCTGTCGTCCATTCCTTCGTTCCGCCAGCGTGTCACCGCGGATTCCTTCGAAATTCCTAACTTCAGTTTCTACACACAGAGACTACACAATACACAAGAGAAACTGATCAAATTGCGCGTTCCCACGATATATTCTCTTTTAAATTTCGATATAAACGAAAAGACCAGAGTGCGAGTATATAAAACGAGAAAAATGTTACTTGAAAATATTCGATTCCGACACCAGAATGAATTTTACATATTTGCTCTCTTTTATTTTTCCCTCGGAAATAACATGCTGGGATAGAACTAATAGATGGTTTAATCCATAAAAGCCATTATCAAAGAAAATCATGTTAATGCTATCATGGTTTTACTCTGTGTGTATATATACAGAGTGTATATCGAGACGGCGAAATATCTCGAAAACTAAGCATTTTAGAAAAAAATGTTTCAGACAAAAGTTGTGTGGTCTCAAAGGGGACATAAAACAACTATATCACTTTGTTCATGATGGCGCCAATTTCGAGATATTCACTGATCATTACTTTTCTGGAAATGGAATAGGCAAATATTTTATTTGCCTAATATTTTTTGAGATATTTAAGGGAAATTTGATAACTTTTTCAACATTTAACTTACGATATCTCGCTAACTATTTGTCGAGAGATAAAATAGTGCTAGACTTTTTTATTCCATTTAATTTCCAGAATATATTGTTACAATAGTGTCCTAACTTTTGTTAACTTATCGACCTTTGGAAATTTCAAAATTATCAAATTAACAAAAGTCAGGGTGCTGTTATAACAATATATTCTTGAGACTAAATAGAGTAAAAAAGTCTAGTAGTCATTTTTTCTTCTAATAAACAGTTAGTGAGATATCGTAAATTAAATATTGAAAAAGTTTTCCTTAAATACCTCAATAAATATCTTAAAAAAATATTAAGCAAATAAAAATATATTTTAAACAAAAGTTGTTAAAATTAATTGGTAGAAAAAGATGATATAATAAAAAATTAGGATTTTCATTTAAGAAAAGGAATGATCAATGAATATGTTGAAAGTGACGCCATCTGTAAACAAAATTATATAGTTTTGTGTCTCTCTTGAAATCATACAACTTTTGTCTGAAACGTTTCTTGGTGTTTTTCATATTTTTCAAAATTTTTGCTTGGCTCATTTAAAATGGGATGCCCTCTATATATATATATATATTTTTTTTTTTATTTTAGAAATCAAAACAGTCAAACTGATAGATGAATTAGATGTTTTATTATTATTGAGTGTTAGATGAAAAGTAAAGAAGTTATTGTTTGCAGCGGATAATTTAAGATTCAATAAGATCAAAACAAAATTGTCTTGCATGGAGTGAATTTTCACCTGTGATAGCGTCAAGGTTCACATTAATTGGAGCTTCTAAATTCCCTTCCCGAAACATTTGTATTCATTCTGGATTAGATGACTCAATAATAAATAAGATCGCGCTACGGCGCGTCCCACGCGATAATAAGCGAACGCTAATAAGATTATAACGGCCATTAATCAGCGGCGTCGCACGTTTTGTAGTAGGGAACAAAATAGCGCCAATTTTTGCAGATAGTCCGCGGATTCCTTGGCGGATCACGACGGATCTCCTCGACCCCGACTTTTACTACGCGGAAGTCATCGAGGATAACATTGCTGCATTTCGCTGGCTCTTCTTCACGTTGCCGTTAAAAGTGATCGCCGATGACAATTTCGCGATTTTGATCGGCCTTCAAGCACCGTTGCGCAAAGTAACCTAATCAATGAACCTTTCCTCAATGATATGCCGGTCATCCGACTGTCAACAAGACAATCGGCGAAGAACGTAAGCAAAGTGGTTGGCATAAAAATCGGTACAAAAGTGAGAGACAGAAAGGAATTTCACATACATTGCTTAACACTTTGTATATGAGCAACGGAAAATTCTGTCTGTCTTTGCTTCGTCTCTGTATGTTTTTCT